GGAGGAGGAGGGGGAGGAGGGGAGGAGGAGAAGTGCTGGAGGAGGAGGGAGGAGGTTGATGAGGATACGGATCAGGAATATGGATAAAAGGATAAGGATAAGGGTAAGGAGGAGGAGGAGGGGGAGGAGGAGGAGGAGGAGGTGGAGGTTGGGGGGATAAGTATAAAGATAATGCTAATAATGATGCAAGGAGATGGATAGGATAAGATAGGAGCGGGGAGGAGGAACAGGAGGAGGAGGAGGCGGAAGGAGGAGGCGGAGGAGGAGGAGGAGGAGGGGGGGAGGAGGAGGGAGGAGGAGGAGGAGGAGGAGGAGGAGGAGGAGGAGGAGGAGAAGGAGGAGGAGGAGGAGGAGCAGGAGGAAGAGGAGGAGGGAGGATGGAGGAGCCCAGAGATCCGACGCTCCAAAAAATTTGGAGCCGGCGTTTTTTGCCTGATTTCGGCCTCCGGGGGCCCTCGCTGGGCCTCGGAACCGTGAGAAAACGACTCGGGGCGAAACAACGTCCTGGGGGAGTGGTCCAGACCTCCGTGGCCAACGCATCGAAACATTGGAGCAGCCGGATGCCTGGGAGGAGGGAAGAGGAGGACCTAGACCACCTGGAAAACATCACGACGGCGGGTTTTTGTCGCTACGTTCGGCCTCTGGGGGCCCTCGCCGGGCCCTCGGGACCGTCAAAAAACAGCTCAGGAGGAAGAACCGATCCCAGGGAACGGGTCGAGACCTCTGGGTGTCGACGTATTGAGCAAATCACGAGTCGGTGGTCTGGGGAGGAAGGTGGGGTGGGGAGTACAGCCAAGACGCTGAAATAAGGACCGCTTTGGGTTCGGAAGGGGATCGGGGATTGGGGTCGTTTCTTAGATTTATGTCGCGGGATTTGCTTGTGGCCTAGGCCCACTGTGGCCAGAAAGCCCCTTTGTTCCTTATTTGGCGGTCCTTCAGGTCGTACCTCGACTGTATCAGCATATACCGCCAAGTCATCGCGATGCTATCACCCAGCGATCTGTGTTTGCACGGGTCAAGACTTCTCGAGTTTCAGAGTTCCAAAGGATGGAACGCTGGGGGGGGCGGTGCGTCTCAGAGCCACGGCTTTCGATAGCTAAGTGCGCTGCCAGCCTGAAAATGAAGTGCCTCCTGTGTGACTTTGGAGGGGCTAGAATTGCTAACCGCAGCCTGGCCCGCCAGCGTGAGAGACTCCACAGCGCTCTGGCGCTGGTGGACCATCGGCAGAGAGGAGGACGGCGTAGCAACCTGCAAGAGCCTGCTAACATCATCTGGGCGTTCTCGCTACCTGCCGCTGCCACTCTCTCTTGGACTTGCCAACACGGATGAATCGCTAGCCGCATGTTGAGAGACGAGGGCAGCAGCGAAAGTCGAGTGAGGGGAGGAGGAGGATGCCCGAAGAGGCGGAGGAGGAGGAGGAGGAGGAGGAGGAGGAGGGAGGATGCGGATCAGGAGGAGGAGGATGCGGATCAGGAGGAGGATGAGGAGGATGAGGAGAGGAGGAGGAGGATCATTAAACTACCACAATAATACGAGTTGAGACAACGGTAGTTGGCCTTTGGGGGCCCCCTCGACACCATTGCTGGACCTAGCTCGGGAGGCGGGCGTTTGGATCCTGCGAGGGGTCCGGTGACCGATTTTGAGCTGCTGCTGTCTCAATGCGCCTTGCCCCGAGAGGATGGTGATAGTGTTGCTGCTGCTGATGATGATGATGCAGATGATGATGATGATGGTGATGATGATGCTGATGATGATGATGATGATGGAGATGGAGATGATGATGATGATGATGATGATGATGATGATGATGATGATGATGATGATGATGATAATGATGATGATGATGATGATGATGATGATGATGATGATGATGATGAGGTGGTGGTGGTGATGATGATGATGATGATGATGGTGCTGCTGATGATGCTGATGAGATGGTGCTGATAATGATGATGCTCAGACTGTTTATGATGATGATCATGGTGGTGATGCTGTTGCAAATGATGATGAGGATGACGCTGATGCTTATACTGCTGCTGCTGATGATGCTGGTGATGGTGATGGTGATGTTGATGATGATGTGGATGATGCGGAGGAGGAGGAAGATGATGTTGCTGTTGATGATGATGATGATGATGATGATGATGATGATGATGATGATGATGATGATGATCATGCTGATACTGAGGAGCAGGAGGAGGAGGAGGGGAGAAGGATGAAGGATGAGGGACGGAGGGAGGGAAGAAGGAAGGAGGGGAGGGAGGGAGGGAGGGAGGACGGACGATAGACCGATCGATGGAAGAGGGGCCAAGAGGAGGACGAGGAGGAGGAAGAGGTGGAGGAGCAGCAGGAGGAGGATGAGGGCGCTGCTGATGATGATGCCGATGGTGGTGACGATAATGCTGATGATGGTGATGATGGTGGTGATGATGATGAGGTTGACGATGATGATGGTGATGATGATGATGATGATGATGATGATGATGATGATCAGTATGACGCTGTTGATGATGACGACGATGGTGATAATGATGATGGCGCTGACGTTGACGATGATGATGGGGATAGCTACGATGATGGTGATGACGATGCTGATAATGATGCTGATGGTACTGAGGATTATGCCAATGGTGATGCTGCTGATGATGCTGCCGCTGCTGGCGACGGCGATGCTGATGCTTAGTGCGATGATGACGATTATGATGGTGACGACGATGATGATGAGAATGATGATGATGATGATGATGCTGACGCTGATGATGCTGATGATGGCGGCGGTGGTGATGCTGGTGGTGATGCTGCTGATGCGGATAATGATGGTGTTGATGATGATGATGGTGATGATGGTGGTGATCATGATGCTGATGGTGATTGTGCTTATCCTGGTGCTGCTGCTGATCATGTCGATGATGGTGATGCGGATGATGGCGACGACGATGATGATGAAGATGGGAATGGCGGTTGTGAGGATGATGATGGTGAGGTTGACGATAATTGTCATGGTGATCTGATGATGAGGGCGATGCTGTTGATGATGATTGTGATGGAAGGTGCTGATGCTGATAACGACTACGATGCTGATGACAATGGCGATGGTGATGTTGAGTGTAATGATAATGGTGATTATGATGATGCTGGCGATGCTGAGTTGCTGATGATGCTGATGATGATGATGGTGATGTCTATGTTGTTGGTGACGATGATGGCGATGATGATGATGATGATGATGATGATGATGATGATGATGATGATGCTGATGCTCATGATGATGATGATGGTCATCATGCTGATGATGATGATGATTATGCTGATGGTGATAATGATGGTGATGATGATTGTGCTGGTGGTTTGGGTTGTGGTGCTGATTATGGTGATGGTGACTGTGATGGCGATGCCGATGTCGGTGGTGATTGTGCTGGTGCCGATGATGCTGATTATGATGCAGGTGGTGGAGATGATGATGCGGATGTTTGTGGTGGTGGTGATCATGATGGCGACGACGACGATGATGGAGATGATGTCGACGACGATGATGAGGCTATTGCTGCTGATGATGGTGATGGTGATGATGATGCTGACGATGCTGCTGATGATGATGCTGCTGCTGATGATGATGTTCATGATGATGCTGATGCTGATGCTGCTGCTGCTGCTGATGATGATGCTGATGCTGATGCTGATTATGATGCTGTTGATGCTGATGCTGATGCTGATGCTGATGCTGATGCTGCTGATGATGATGATGATGATGATGATGATGATGATGATGATGATGATGATGATGGTGGGGAGAAATAGGAGGAGGAGGAGGAGGAGGAGGAGGAGGAGGAGGAGGTGGAGGAGGAGGAGGAGGAGAGGAGGAGCAGGATGAGGAGGAGGAGAAACCAGGAGGATAGAGGAGGAGGCGGAGGAGGAGGAGGAGGAGGAGGAGGAGGAGGAGGAGGAGAGAGGAGAGGAGCAGGAGGAGCAGGAGGAGGAGGAGGAGGAGGAGGAGGAGGAGGAGGAGGAGGGGAGGAGGGCGCAGCGGCGGGCAGCGACGCGCGCGGAGCATAGGGGGCTGCCTTCGGGGCGGCGGCGGTGCCCACGGGGTGGGCGGTAGGGCCCCATTGAGTCCCTGACGCCGTGCCCCCCTGCCGCCGCCATCTCTATATCTCCACGAAGCCCGCCTTCCGCATCACTGCTCCTCGTTCTCGCCCTCCTCGCCGCTGCTCCTCGTGCCGCTGCGGCTTCCTGAAGCCGTGCGCCCCCCCCCCCCCCCTTGCCGCCCCCACCTCTTTCTCCCTCCTCCGCGCTGACACGCCGACACGTCCTCACTCGACCTCCGTGCTCCTCGTCCTCGCCCTGACGCCGTCCCCCCACCCCGCCGCCTTCACCTCGGCAGGCAGGGCCCGCACACCGTGCCAGGGTCCGCGAGGCCAGGCAGGGCGGTGGTGTGCCGAGGCGCCTTTCTGCGAAGGCCCCCCCAGAATTCTCCGAAGGCCTTCGGGCTGCCTCTCCCTCCTCCGCGCTGGTACGTCCTTCCGCGACCAACCCGATCCTCGTCCCCGCCACCCTCCGCGCCGTTGCACCTCGACCTCCCCCCTTCCTCCCGCTGCTCGGCCCAGCGCGGTCAAGCAGACTCTGGACCCCCCCGGGAGGAGGAGGAGGAGGAGGAGGAGGAGGAGGAGGAGGAGGAGGAGGAGGAGGAGGAGGAAGACGCGGAGGAGGAGGAATCGGGAGGATAGAGGAGGAGGAGGAAGAGGAGGAAGAGGAGGAGGAGGAGGAGGAGGAATGGGAGGAGGAACGGGAGGAGGAACGGGAGGCGGAGGAGGAGGAGGAGGAGGAAGAGGAGGAGGAGGAGGAGGAGGAGGAGGAATGGGAGGAGGATCGAGGAGCAGGAGGACGAGGAGGAGAATGGCAGCAGCGTGCTCCAGTATCTCGGCTGCTCCAGGCGGGGGCACCTGAGCACACCCAGGGCGTGCGGTGGGTGCGCGGGAGGGATCCGGCGCGCCCCCCCTCAGGAGGCGGCTCGGGCGCAGCGAGGCCCTCGGGGAGATCCGTTCGCCAGGCGTTGGCCCACCCTTCGAGTCGACGAACGACACAGACCGCTCCGTCACGATTTCGCAGTGGTGCCCGAAGGTGCAGCAGAGCGGCACGAGCATGCGGCGAGGGCTTACTGCTCTCCCTCGTCCTCCTGAACGGTCCTCCTCATCCTCATCCTCATCCTCATCCTCCTCCTCATTCTCTTCCGTATCCTCCTTTGCCTCCTCCTGTACCTCCTCCTCTTCCTTCTCCTCCTCCTCCTCTTTCTCCTTCTCCTTCTCCTTCTCCACCTTCTCCTCTTCCCCCTCCTCCTCCTCCTCCTCCTCCTCCTCCTCCTCCTCCTCCTCCTCCTTCCCTCCTCCTCCTCCTATGCCCCTCCTCCTTCTCCTCCTCCTCCTCCTCCTCCTCTTGACCCTCTTCCCCGCCGTCCTCCAACTCTTGATGCACTTGCTCCTCTGGATGCCCCGCACTGCCAAAAGCCTCAATAGGCTGCTGTAGCCACTATCTGCTTTCCGAATCCGCTCCCACCAGAGGCTCCCCAAGTGTCCAGATAGATAGACGACACTAGCTCTCCACACTAACCCTGTGCAATGTGAGGGCGTGCTCGTGAGGGTCTCTGAACCTCTCTGGGGTCTCCCAGACGCTCTTACGGTCAGCATCTTTTGTTGACCCAGCGTGTCGCGGCGGCGGCCTGTGCGAAACGGGATGTCTTACAAACTGATAGCTTGTCGCTCTGCTGTGCCAGGCGGGCGGCTGGGAAAAGCGCGGAATTATGATACGTGGAGACCGAAGAGTGCTCAGCATGCCAGGCCAGCCGGCGGCGCGACATGCTAAGCAACCGCTCCTGACCGTAAATTGTTGGAGGTCCGCGCAGATTCCTTGGATCGGCGGTGGACCTCCCTTCCAGGCGCGCGTAACGCGCCATGGGCGGCAGAGGCGCCGCCAGGGTGGTCACCGATCCAAGAGATCCGCTCGGGTCTAAGAACGTTTACGCGTATGTTTGTGTTGTCTTTTCTGTAGGTACGGGCGCCTCGGCAACAACATCATACAGATGGTAAACGCGATCCTCTTCTGCCAGCAGTGGGGCTACTCGAAGCTGATACTGCCTCCAGATAGGAGCCATGTTAGGATATTCGACCTCCCCGAGAACATGAATATCAGCTACCGCACGCTCGGAAACAAGCTCGATTGCAATTGGAACCATCTCTCCACACATTATTTCTTCGGTCGGTGCTTTGCGGTGAACAAGAGGCTCTACCACAGGACGATCAAGCAGTATCTGCGGCCGTATTTCACCGAAAAGACGATCACAGCCTGCCAGAAAGAGCACGCCCGACCCTTCGACGGTCTAACCATTCACCTGCGCAGTGGAGACACGGCAAAGTCAACTGCGAGGACCTCGAGCGCCACACAAACTGCCTACGCTTCGTGCAATTTCTTCGACACGATTGTCGCCGAACGGAAGTTCGAGGCTGTTCGCATCGTAACAGAACCAGACCAGTCGCACCCATGCATACATTTATTACGAGACCGGTTGCCCTCGATGAATGTGAGTTTTAATCTCCGCAATCGCTCAGTCGAAGAGGACGCCTGTGCCCTCATGAACGCGAAGTACCTAGCAGTCGGCTCGTGGAGCACATTCTCGCAGACACTCGAGATGTTTAACGACAAGTTGGATAGTCTGTTTTGGCCCGTGCCACCGAAAGGGACGATGAAAATGTTGGATAGTCATTGCGTTCCTGTCGTCAATGCATCATTATCGAAGACGTACGTGTATGAGATTTCTGGCATGCAGGGCATACACAACAATCTGGGGAACGCAGAGAGTGTCGAGTATTTCACCCGGAACTCTTCGCAGGGCGTCAAACTGGTCGCCGTATGTGACCAGGAACGGGAGGTACCCTTTGCTGGGTCCGTGAGCCTGAGGTAGTTGCATGCGCTCCCTCCTCTGTACCAGAGGCTCCTCCGGTCTCCTTCCGGCTGAGGCCTTGATCGTATCTTCCCGCGGGCATCTCTCCGCCGCCATGACGTAGACGGCAGATCCCGAGGGCGTGGTGCCTTGAAGCTTTTGGTTGTGCTGGGCCTCCCGGGACGGCCCTCCCCGGGCCCGAGGACCGCAAAGCAGCGCTTCGGGGGGTGCAGAGCCGGTCCCAGGGAGAGCCCCCGCGGCCCAGGAGGGCCGCTCCCCTTTGGGATCCGGCCAGTTCTGTGTCCCCAGACCCCCGATGCTAGGATTTTTGCATGACGTCGACCCCAGGAGTCTCGACTCACATTCCCCGTGGCCGAATGCTCATCCTGAGTCGTGTTTGTACGGTCCTGGGGCCTGGCGAGGGCCCCCAGAGGCCCCAAATAGCGAGACATTTGCGTTGTGATATGTTTCACAACTCGGGGAGGCCTGGGTCTCCTCTCTCTCTCTCTCTACCTCTCTATCCTTCTCTCTCTCTCTCTCTCCCTCTGTCCATCTCTGCCGCGGATGCCGAGCAGCTGAATTGAGACGGCGATCTCCGCGGAAACAGCGCGTCTGCTCCACGGGGCCTCACAGCGCACTCCCCAGCTTAACGGGCGAATAACGGTATAAATCAACCTTTTTCGCTGTCGGGTGCGCCTGTCCCAGGGCGGCTGGAAAGTTTATACCCTTACGGTGGCACGTTAAGGTATAAACTTTCCAGCCGCCATGGGGCAGCGCCCCCGGTGACGGAACAGTTCATTCTATACCGTCCTTCGCCCGCGGACCAGCGCACGAGCAGCACCGTCGTCACGAGGATTCCGAGGCGGGGATTGATACAGAACCACCGCCTCGAGGATCGATTTTCGGAGCCCTCGGCGGGCGGGCGGTGGATAAGGGATATAGTTTGACCCGAGGGGCCCAACTATCCACATCGACCGCCCGCCGGGTCCCCAGGACGTCGGTTCCCAGGCGATTGACATAGGTAAGCCCCGCCTCGCAAGGATCTCCGTGCAGCAGTGCATACCACGCCCTGATCGTGCCAAAACGGCACCAGTGCTGGAAGGAGGAAAGGGTACCCATACCGATACCCTTGCCTCGTTGTCGCCTTTTTGGGCCTCCTGGGGGGGGTCCCTCGTCGATATATTATCTATATATACTCTTGATCTATCTTCGGCCCAGCTCGCTGACACAAGGCTCAGATGCTCAGTAAGAGCGGGACTGGCATGTGGCAGGACGCGCCTGGAATTGAAGGCTTCGTGCACGGCACAGCAGAAACACACGAGACCTTCAGCGTGCTGGCGCCTGGTGTTCGGACCCGTCCTGGGCCAGGAGGAGGGGTGCAACGAGAACGTTTGAAACATGTGTGTGTGTGTGTGTTGAGCGTCCTGTCTCTCACGGGCTTGTCGGCTGCGTCTGCACGCCTCTGTCCGTCTTCAAGCGTTGCCTGCTCGCTCGCCTCGGGTTTGGGTGCCCTGCCTGGCACGCGGATTCGCCGAGCGCGGTCCTGCACGCCTGGCAACGCCATGCTTGAGCTTGGCACGCTCGAGCGCGGCCCGTTCCTGCGCTCGCGATGGCGCCGTCGCCTTGCCGGAGGAGGAACAGCGACTTGTCTCCCAGGGGCTCGTCGGCTGCCCCGTGGGACCCCCCCCACCCCCCGATCCTCGCGCCGCGGGCCCCTTCATGACGCGCAGCCGCCCCACCGGGTCCATCTTCACCGCCGACGTGGGAGGCTTCCTCGAGGAGCAGAGCCTGGGCGTGCAGAAGGACATCCTGAAGGCTCAGCTCGAGGACCCGGGGCTCCTCGTCGTCGTCGTCGTCGTCCCTCCTCCTCCTCCTCCTCCTCCTCCTCCTCCTCCTCCTCCTCCTCCTCCTCCTCCGCCCTCTCCTCCTCCCTCTCCTCCTCCCTCTTTCTCCTCATCCTCCTCTGTCACCCTCCCTCCCCTCATCTTCCTCATCCTCCTCCTCGTCCTCCTCCTCCTCCTCCTCTTCCTCCCTGTCGTCCCGGCCTCCCTTTGCCTTCAAGGTCAGAGTCTTAGCTGGTGCAGTGGATTTGCCGCAGGCGGGTCGGCGGCGAAAGACGCAGTCGTTCATGCATAGTGTTTTTTTGCGTGCAGTAATGCGCAGCTGTTGCGACGCGAAATATGGCACGGGCGACAAAGGGTGCGTGCGAACACCTACGCAAGCGCGTCCAAACGCAACTATTGTATCCAGCGCGCAAGCTGTTGCATCGGGGCACCAATCAGTGCATGTTCTCTTGCATGTTTTCCCGCGGACCCACTCGCGCCAGACCCACTGCTCCAGCTTGAACAAGCGCCATGTGCTAAAGTCTGGCAGGCGTCACTGGCCCACGCCTGATGCCACCCATTTCCTTGTGCGCATGCTCCGGGGCTGGAAAACGGAATGGTGGTCTCGCTTGAGCGTTGATGGCGGGTTGGAACTTGTCATAGTGTGAGCACCAGAGTTAAGCCAGTCTGCTTCCCATCATCTTGCAGACGGATTTTTTCAGGCTGCCCACCTCAATCGTCGTCTACACGTATGGGGCTGGCACATTGCGTTCGAGGGATACCCCGAAGGGTTTGAACCGCGTATTGGCAACAACTTCCAGCGTTTGGAGGCTGGGCATGCTGGCTGGCATCCCACTGGTCTCCATATCCTGTAGCCCGATTGCCTTGCGAGAGTGGCAAGCTGGGCGTGGCTGTTAGCGCAACCCTACGCCCACATTCGTGTGGCCCGCGGCTCTTGGAGTGGTGGCGCGCGGTTTTGGCAACGGTTGTGTCAGTCAAATCATACGCCTGAGTGCGTGGGTGCAAATGGGCGATGTCGGCCTTTACTTCCCGCTTCACGGGACCAGCGGCACGCCAATCGAGGCTTGTATTCACCACGCCTGCCTCCCCACTGCCTCCTTCCTTCCTCGCACCCGCCACCTCCACCTCCACATCTCTCCTCCGTCCCTCCCCCTTCTCCGCCGCTCTTCCATTCCTTTCCTTCATCCTCCGCTCCCCCTCCGCCCTCCCTACGAGCTACATCACATGGATGCAAACAGCCCAAGACACCGAAACATGGGCGGCGCTCGAGAATCACTGCACGGACCTCGCACCAGCAAACACCCAGAACCAAGACCCATCATCAACAGTGAACGCCCAGCGAGAGTCGAGAGGACACGCCCAGCCCGCGCTGACACCGACACCAAGGACTTCGCCTTCTTCTTCTGCTGCTTCTGCTTATTATTCGTCTTCTTCTTTGTCCTCCTCCTCCTCCTCCACCTCTCCTCTTCTCTCGTCTCCTCTTCTCTCCTCTTCTCTCCTCTCCTCTCCTCTCCTCTCCTCTCCTCTCCTCTCCTCTCCTCTCCTCCTAACTGCTTATGCTTTTCACATAGCATGTATCCAGACAAGCCAGATTCTCGAGGCCACGGCCTCACCCATCTGGTCTGAGCCAGGCCCGGACACTGTCCGCAACGGTCCCAGACCTCCGACGTCTCAATTGTTTCAAGACGCGGGCTCCCAACCTCCCGACCACTTCGCCAGGACCAGTTTTTCGTTCCGAGTCGTTCTTTGACGGTCCCGAGGCCCGGCGAGGGCCCCGCGAGAGGCCAAAAATGACAAATAACTTCCGTCTCGATTTTTTCGAGACGCCCGATGTCTGGGGTGGTCGCATCGCAGCGCATCGCACCCCCTCCTGCAGGACCTGGACGCCTGGGGCACCCTGGTGCGGCACCGGGCCGCCGCCACCGGCAGCCTGGACGCCGCCGAGGCCGACCGACCGCCGCCCGCCGACGAGGCTCGTCGCGCCCTCCAGGCTCGGCGAACTCGCCGCCATCCGCCGTCGCCGCCGTCGCCGCCATCCGTGGGTCGTGGTCGTGGTGGTCGTCGCCTTCGCCGCGGCCCGGCCACGGCTGGTAAACGGCCGCCGCGGTGGTCGTCGTCGTCGCTGTCGGTGGTTGCTGTCGTCGTCGTCGTCGTCGTCGTCGTCGTCGTCGTCGTCGTCGTCGTCGTCGTCGTCGTCGTCGTCGTCGTTGTGGTCGTCGCGCGGCCGCCGTCGCGGTCGTCGTCGTCGTCGCCGCCCGCCCGCCTGCCGCCCGCCGCGATTGGGCCGCCGCCCTCCGAAGGCACGGCTGCGCGAGATCGGCGCGCGCCTCTCGCACCTGGCGGCAGGCCGGGCGGCGGGCAGCACCGGCCGCGGCCCGCTCGGCGCCGCGGCGGGGCCCGGCTGCGGCGAACTCCCGGCGGCGGTCGGCCACGCGCAGAGGGGATAGGTTAGGTGTTCGATTCTGGACCCCTTGTTGAACGCAGCCATCCAGCTTTCGTGCCGGAGGCCATTGGAGACCGCCAAGGACCGCCGAAGACCGTCAGAAGACCGTCAGAAGACCGCCGAAGACCGGCGAAGACCGGCGAAGACCGCCCGAAGACCGCCGAAGACGGCCCAGGAGCAATGGGTAACAAGGGGTCCACGGTCGAACACGTAGGGTAAGGGGAGGGGGGAGGCTTCTTCGAGGCAGCCTTGCTTCTGGAAAGGCGCGGGCCTTCCCTGTAGATCGGGGGCTGGCGGCTTCCAAGAAGCAGCCTCCCTCTAAGAAGCCTTCCTGCCTCCCTCTAACTCTAACCCCCCCTGTGCGCGCCGCCAAGGCGGGGCGGGAGCTACCAGAGGCGCTGCGGCGCGAGCGCGCGCGGGATCGCGCCGGGAGTGGGCTGCCCGCGGCCCTGGGCGGGCCGACGGAGGCGGAGCTGCGCGCGGCGCGGCGCAGGCTGCCGGAGATGCCGCTGCCGCTGCTGCCGGTGCCGCACGGAGGGCCCGTTGTCGCCACGGCCGGTCGTGCCTCGGCGTGGCGCCCCAGGAGAGGTTCCAGGCAGCACAGGCTTAAGGCGCTGACAGGAGTGTCGGCGGCGGGCCCAGGGGGGAGAGAAGGAGAAGGCCTTCTCAGAAGGCGTCAGGGCTGCTCAGAAGCCCCCGCGCTTCTGAGACGTGTTCCGCATCTTCGGGGAAGGCCTAGGATACGTCTCAGAAGGCCCGAGGCCTTCCAACCCTTCTGAGTCGGGGCTGAAGAGACGGGGGTCAATGCAAACGGGGGTCAGTCAGAACGTCCGATCTCGCAGGATCCTGCAGAGCCAGAGCCGGATCTCTCAGGGCGCAGGGTCCTGCAGGATCATGCAGGATCATGCAGGACCCTGCAGAGCCCGACTGACTTGGGTTTACACCGACCAGGGTCAGTGCGTCCCCGAATTCAGCGCCTCTCATGGTAGCATGATGGCTGTCGGCTGTGCAGCGCATCGGTGCTCCTAAGACCCGACGGCGCGAAAAACATAAGCCTCGTGCAAATCACGTCCTGAGCCCTGGACCCCATGCTTCTGCGCCACTCTTCGAGCCGGATATCGATATGTGAGGGCCCCGGAGCCCGAAGCCAGGCGATAAAACATCTGGCTCGAAACACCTGCGACGCTAGTATCTCAAGTGTGTGTTTCGACTACACGTAAGAGTGACCCTTCGCCGGAGAGACCTTTGGTGCGGGCCCATTGGGGCCCTCCGATCGCCGAGCGGGAAGCGATAGTAGCGTCTCGCGTGCCTGGTTTTGGTCCCCCCGCGGCCCCCCAAAAGCCGCGCACCGAAGGTCACTCTTACCCAAAGTCGCTCCTGCGTGCAGCCGATGTTTGTTCCCCGCCCCCCTGAACATTTGGAACATGTGGGAAGTCTGGGGGAAGCGACCAACCACAGAATAGGGGGAAAAATGGGGAACCCTGGGATGCGTGTCTGTTACTGTGTGTCCCTGGGCTCCCTTGTGTGTGCTGCCCCCCCCCCCCCCCCTCCCCAGGCTGGGCCTCGACGCCGCACGCGCCGCGCTGGCCCGCGCGCGCGGGGCGGAGGCGCAGCGGCGCCTCGCGGTGCAGCAGGCCTGCGGCGGCGACCTGGGCGCCGCGGGCGCGTTGGAGCGCGCGCTGACGCAGCTCCGCGCGGCGGAGGCCATCGACTAGGCTTCAGTCGGTCCCGTCGCTCTACAGGGGGGGGAAATTGCGAAATACTCCAAACACAGTCTGGGGACGGTTTGCTCCAGCTATTTCTGGACTATTTTGGGACATGTGATGGACATGTCTTATTTGTCGTCCCAAGTTCGCCTGTAGGGGGGCGTGCCCGACCTAAGACTAGACGTGAGAGTGACCTTTCGCCGGAGGGACCTTTGGTTCGGGCCCAATGGGGTCCCTCGATGGCTGAACGCAATGCGGTAGCAGCGGCTTGCGCGCCCAGGTTTGGCCTCGCCGCGGCCCCCGTCGGGCCGCGCACCAAAGGTCACTCTGGCCCAGGATCACTCTTGCGGCGTAGCCGAGGCCAACCCGTTCTGGGAGCCCGGCCTCGCGAGGTGCGGCACCGCCGACGCCGCGCTGGCGCTGGTGGACGCCATCCAGGCCGTGCCTGGGCCTCGCCCGGGCCTTCCCAGAGATCCGAGGATCTGATGTTTGTAATCCTGCGGTTTTTCCTGTGTTTCGGCCTCTGGGGACTGTTCTCGGGCCCGAGGGCCATCAACCATAGATCCACAACGAAAGACCACCCCCGAGGAGGGGTCGGGACCTGTCGGGCCGCGGATTGCAAGAGTCATACCGGCGGATGTCTGGGTTCCTTCCCCGGGCAGGGCCTAACCCTGGGCCACTCCCGGGCCCTCGGTTGCTCCCCTATCTGGGGCCTCGGGGAGGGCCTGCCCCCAGGGGCTCTCCGAGGGCCTCGACGTCGGGGCCCACCCTCGGCTCTGCCTCCCCAGCCAGGAGCGCCAGGCCCTCCTGCGGGCCCTCACGGGGGCGCTGCGGGCGCGGGAGGAGCTGCGCGGGGCCGTGCTGGCGCACGAGCAGCTGGCCGCCTGCGCCGAGGAGCCCGCGGACGCGCCCGCCGTGGCGAGCCTTCGCGACCGCGCCGGGCGGGCGGCGGCGGCGCCCGCCGCGTGGCTGGCCCTGGCGGCCGACGGCGGGTCGGCGGGGCGCCTCGCCCCGGGCCCAGGCGAGCGGCAGGTGGGCGCGCTCGCGGCGCTCAACGCGGAGCTCTGGGGCCGGTTGGCCGCCGAGACGCTGGACGTTCGGCGCCGCGTAACATGGAAGGGGAGGGGCGACCCAGAGATCCAGCGTATACAGCACAAATCAAGACGGAGGTTTCTCGCAATTTTCGGCCTCTATACAGGGGCCCTCGCCGGGCCTCGGGACCGACCAAAGCCGATTGAGGATGACAAATCGGTCCTGGGTCGAGACTTCCAGCGGCTCCGCATGAAAAAAACGCGACATCGGATCTCTGGGAATGGGGGGGGCAGCGAGGCCTGCAGAAAAGGGGCCCTCTGGGGCCCTCCAAAGGGGCCCCGCTGGGCCCAAAAGGGAGTCCTGAGGGCCCCAACGGTGCACCTTTCCACCACCCCATTCCTCGCCTCCCCAATACTGCACGCCCGAGGACGAGGGCGCCCCCTCGACCCCTCGCGCCCTGCGGGCCAGGCTGCAGCGCCAGGGCGAGCGGCGCGACTCCTCGCCGGGGCCGCCGCCGCTGGTGCCCGCCGCCGGCTCGCTGGCGGCGCCGCCGCGGGCGCGTGCTGCGCGGGCGGCGGCGCCACAGCTGTCCGCTGCGGCGGCCGAGAGGTATTTCCAGGCGTGGCTGGCGGCGGCCGACGAGCGCCGCGACCTCTGGCGCGCGACCCGCCGCGACGCCGCCTCGAGGTTTCGCCGTGGAGCAAGCGGGTCTTGAGGGAAGAGGGCCCTTCGCCGTTTCTGGCCTCCCTGGGCCCTCCCCGGTGAGTTTCGGCGATGGCCGAGTCAGCCAGGCATGCCCGTCGTGTCTGTCTTGATGTATGCTACTGGCGTCCGTTATCTCTGACTACGGTGTGTTATTGATACAGGTCCGAGGCTAAACCCGCGCCTTGGAGGACGACGGAACCTCTGGCCCCAGGAATGTTCGAAAACGATTCGGGACGACAAGCCTGTCTTGGGGGAAGACCCTGGGGTCCAGGATCCATTTGAACGACGCAGAGAAGCGGTTTCGATTGCGCGGACATTTGCGCGTAGACTACCCGCGGAAGGTCGCGCGAAAGTCCCCTCGTTTCCAATGTAGCGTGCCGCGCTGGCGGCCCGCGTAAGCAACTGCGAAAGGTCGCTACGTCATCGTCATCGTGCGTAAAGCCCAGTTCGTCTTGTCGCGCATTTTCTTCAGGACCCGCTTGCTGAATGACACAGGTTGTTGGGAACGCGCTCGCGGGCGATTGCGCTGAGGCAGCTGCTCAAGGCATTGCCCTTCACGTCCGAGCATGCAATACCGCGCGACCTCCCGAGGGACGAGCTGGTCAGAGATACCGCCAGAGAGCGCACGGGCACGTTTCTCTCGGCCACCGACGCGGGCGTGTGCAAGGTTCGCTTCGGCGATCACGTCGAGCTGATGCCTGCGGGGCGGCTGGTTTGGCGGCGCTCGGGTCCGCACCCCTTCGTCGGTGGCCTCTGCCTGCTCGCCTGGGCCCTGGCCACGCGCCAGCGGGGCGAGCGCCACCTGGCGCAGCTGCGCCAGAGGATGCTGACGGGCGGCGGCAGCGGTGCCCGCCCCCTGGCGCGGCTGGCGGCCGCCTCGGAGGACGCGGCCGTGGGGCGCCGCGTCTTCTTCGAGGCCTGGGCCGCGGCCTGCAGAGCCGCACGGGCCTCGCAGCGTGCCGTGCTGGCGGAGGCCTGGGCCGCGTGGCGCGGGGCGCTGGCGCAGGCGCGCCACGCGGCGGCGAAGGCGCACTTCGAGGGCATGACGCGGGAGTTCGGGGCCGCGCGCCTGGCCGTGGCGCGCCAGACCCGCCGCCACGAGCTCCTCGAGAGGAAGCTGGCCGAGATCGGCAGCCTGCAGGGCCAGTTCTGGAGCAGCTGGGTCCTCCAGGCGCAGAGCAGCAGACGGTGTCACAAATGGAATGTCAGCGCCAGTCGCTGAAAGTAGGCATTTGCCTTGCCTTCCCAAATCCCAATCTGCAAGCGCCTTCCTACGTCAAGGACAGATATGCTGTTGGTATTGTGTGTTCTTCGTTGAGCGGGCCCGAACCCTATCTACTTTATCCGCCGTTCTACTTCATGCTTCTACCTGCTTTTTCTTGCTGGCGGATAAGCTTTCGGAGCTCCGCGCGGATTTCTCGGATCGGCGGTGGGCCCCCCTCCCTGGCGCGCAGGGCGCCTCCAGGGGCGGCGCCAGAGGCGCCGCTGAGGGCCTCCAGAGTTTAGGTTTCTGTTTCTGTTTGCGCAGTGCCGTCTACGCGATCTGAGGGTTCTGGCCAGTGAGGGGGCTCCAGAGCCGCTCCGAGAGATCCGCGCGGAGCTCCCACAGTTTTTGTCTATGTCACTGCATGTTTCGGGGCAACGGTAGGGGGGAATGGGCATACGGGGTGTGCATCGGCACCCCCCATCGCCCATTGATCACCGATGCGGGCCCGCCAGCCCCAACCCGCCTAGGACTGTGCGGTTTGGCTATCGGAGGCCTGTCGCCGATCCATCGGCGACGTATCGCCGATTCCAGGCCGCGGCATCCCCCCCCCTATGCCAGTCCTTCCCTATCGTTGCCCAGTTTATGTTCTTGTGCTGCTTCTTCTCCCCCGACGTCTCCCAATCCGCTTCCGGCGCGTCGTCCCGCCCGTCGCCCGACCGACGCCTGCACCTGGTCCGGCTCGCTCGCGCCCGCTGACTTAGACAACAATTATTTCCACGAAGGATTGCAAAAAAAACCCAGGATTGCAAAAAAACGAAGGATTGCAAAAAACGAAGAATTTTTTGCACGAGGATTGCAATCCTTCGTGCAAAAAAACGAAGGGTTTTTTTGCAATCCTTCGTTGAGGCGTGGCAGTACCAGGCCAGCATCCTGAGGACCGCGCGCGGGCTCCGACAGGAGTGGCGAGCGATCAACACGCACCCATACCCGCTGGGGTGACGGAAAGAGCTGTGGGTGCGTGCTGTCGGATGGGGGTGTCCGCTCGAACGGGAGCCTCCTCCGAGGTCCGACAACCCGCACCCATACCCATAGCCAGTCCTCCCTCCGACCACCCTACATCCATCGGAATCTTCATATCAAAAACATGATTTCTCATGGACTCCAGATTTCGCTGAAGAAAGTTCGGAATCTGGACTGGACCCTGGGCGCTCTCTTGGGGCTGTTTCTCTTGTGCAGAACTTTCGTACACCTGGACCTGGACTACGCAGCAAGAGATCGCTTCGAGTGGTGCCCACCCCATCTTGGCCTCGAAATCTCCTGATTGTGCGCAGGGGTCGATGGGTACGGATATGTGTGTGGTGTTCCTTCGCCCAGGAGGGCGTGCGCACCGCGCTGTGGCTGGTCCGGGAGACCTCCAGCGGCCCGCGCCTCGCGCTGTGCTTCCGGGCCTGGGCCGCGGCGCGGCGGCAGGAGCGCGGCCGGAGGCGGTTCCTGGCGAGGATCGGCGGCTGCACATAGGGTGCGGTGACACGCCGGTCGTGAGGCTGCAGAGAGTCGACTGAGTGGACGTACGAGTCTACGAGGGGCCCTCCCGCGCAAGAGTCGACGAGACGTAAGAGTCGCCTAGGCGTAAGGGTCGTCAATGGTACTCGCCAGGAACCGCACCCTTTGTAGTCGACTGGTCAACCACAAAGGGTGTGGTTCCTGGCCAGGTTCGACGATTATAAAGAGTCCATTAGTCGTGAGAGTGACCTTTCGACGGAGTGTCCTTTGGCGCGGGCGCAATGGGCCCCCCCGATCGTTGAGCGCGAAGTGGAAACAGCGGCTTGCGCGCCCAGATTTGGCCACCCCGTGCCCTCCGTTGAGCCGCGTACCAAAGGTCATTCTTGCCCAGGTTCACTCTTGCGTGTAACCGAATTTGGGGCATCCAGGTCCCAATATACTTCAAGCGCCTTCCTACTTCAAGAATCGATATGTTGTTGCTGTGTTTGGTAACTGATTGGGCGGCCCGAACCCTATAGTCCTACTCCATCCGCCTTCCTACTTCATGCTTCCACGTACTTCTTCCGACTGGCGGGTACGCCAGAGCGTGGTCTGCGATCTGCGCCGCTGGGGCTGGGGAGGGACGGCGCTGCCCTCGTGGTGCCTCCTCGGGGCGCGGCAGCGATCTCTGCCGAGGTCCTCGCCCGGCTCCCTCAGGTTGCGGGTTGCAGACCTCGCCCTGTGCAGACCAAACCCTTCGGAGTCGCCACGAGGAACATGGCCCAGGCCCAGAAGTCCACGGCCAGCAGGCACTTCCTCGAGTGGAAGGTGCTCGTGCGGCTGGAGCTCGAAGAGCAGCAAGACAAACCACGGCATGGACACGATCTCTCTCCGCGGCGAGGCCAGGGGGGGGGGGGGACAGCCAGGGGGGAAGGCCTTCTCCCAAGGCGGGGCGGGACTCCTCAGAGGCCCTCGCGCCCTCTGATCGGTTTCCCGCGTCTTCGGCGAAGGCCCACGGCACTTCTGAGAAGGCCCTGGGCCTTCCGAGCTTGCTCGGCAGCCCCACCGCCTTCCGAGAGGGCCTCCCCCCTCGGCAGCCCCCCCCCCCCGCTGGGCGCGCCGCCGGTTCTCGGAGCTCCTCGCGGATTTCTCGGCAGTCGTCGTCGTCGTCGTCGCCGTCGTCGTCGTCGTCGTCGTCGTCGTCGTCGTCGTCGTCGTCGTCGTCGATGTCGTCGTTCTTGTCGCTGTCCAGCGCAGATCCAAGAAAGCCACGCGGACCTCCGAAAGTGATTTTTTTACGCAGCACCCCGCAATGGCGGATGAGAGAGTGGGGGGGCGCGGCGGGTGGGTGGGTCGCGGGATGGGTTGGGGGTGGGTCGCGGGGGGGACGAGACCAGCAATAGCAATCAGTTTACCTTCACGCGCCATGCTTTTACATGCCACATGCGTCCACCATGATGACACCCCTTCTTTGGGGAACTATATGCAAAGGGGGCGATATTCCCACACCCAGATCTCTCGCCCAAGGAGATCTCGCCAACACCTTCTACCGAGGCGGTTTCCCACTCTCAGCTTGCGCGGCACATCAAATTTGAGTGCGACTTCGGGGAGCGGTGAGGATTCCAACCATTAGAGGTTCCGGCCCCAGGAGAGGGACATTCTTTAGGAGCGCACGCAAACCACCAAACAAATCGAGCCCCCAACCGAGAGGCAATCCATGTGTATAATATATAATCTATTTATAAATATATATATATGTGTATTTGTATGTGTATTTGTATTTGTATTTGTATGTATATATATATACACTTATACCTTTACGACCACCCTTCGGGTGCTAAGGAGGTTGTGGGCAGGGGGGCGAGGGGGGGAACCAACATCTGACTCAATCGATCTCACTATCGATCTCACTCAGCGGGACACCACGGGACACCACGGGACACTTGTCGATTTCACTATCAATCCCGCTATCGATCTCACTCAACGGGACACCACGGGACACCGCGGGACACCTCTCGATCTCATTATCGGTCTCACTATTCATCTCGCTATCGATCTCACTCAACGGGACACCTCGGGACACCTCATCGACCTCACTATCAATCTCACAATCGATCTCACTGTCGATCTCACTCAACGGGACACCACTGGACACCACGGGACACCTGTCGATCTCACTATCGATCTCACTATCGATTTCACTTTTTGGGACACCACGGGACATCTCGGGGCACCACATCGATCTCAGTATCGATCTCACTATCGACCTCACTATCGATCTCACGATCGATCTCACTCAACGGGACACCGTGGGACACCGCGAGCCACCGCCGGACGGACGGACGGACGGAGGAGAATCTTTTGTCTTGACTTCGCCCTAGCAACGGCGGACATCACAGGACACCACGGGACACAACGGGACACCGTGGGACACCGCGAGCCACCGCCGGACGGACGGACGGACGGAGGAGAATCATTTGTCTTGACTTCGCCTTAACAACGGCGGGTTCATGCCTCTCGCGCGCACACGCAGCTTCGCCTCGCCCGCACGCACGACACAAACGAAACGAAACGATTTCCCTGGGTCTCCGTTCCATTGCGATCTCACCCCCAACCTCCGATATATAAGAACATACGTACACACAGAGGTTTCGAGCCCCACTTGAGGGGCAATATATAGGAACATACGTCAAACACAAAGGGTTCGAGCTCCAAGAGCATGGCAATCCATTGTAACATACGTGCAGCACGGAGGACTCGAGGAGCCCCTGGAAAGGGACGGCGAAGCTCATGGGGGCGAAGCCTACGGGGGGCCGAAAAGCACTCCCCGAACATAGATCCCAATGCAGACGAATGCCTCCTGGGGCCTCCTGGGGTCTCCTGGGGGCGGGGTGGCCGAAAAGGGCTCTCCAAACACATATCCCAAGACAGTAGAGCGTCTCCTGGGGCCTCCTTGGGGCGGGAGGGCCGAACAGCGCTCCCCGAACACATACCCCAATCCAGTAAAGCGTCTCGGGGGCCTCCTGGCGCCTCCTTGGGGCGGGGTGGCCGCAAAGCGCTCCCCGAATACGTATCCCAATACAGAGTCTCTCCTGGGGCCTCCTTAGGCCTCCCAGGGACGGGAGGGCCGAAAAGCGCTCCCCGAACAGATATCTCGGGAGCGTCTTGGGGCTTTCTGAGCCTCCGCAAGTCGCAAGTCTGGGCAAGACTGCTCTGATGGATTCCCGTGTGCTGCTGAATTGTGAGGAAATCTCAAGCGAAGCGGCCGTTCTGGCATCCGCGAGTGGCAGCAATATTGCTTTGAAAGACGCCCTTGTGGTGCTGAAATGTCAGGAAGTCTTGCGCGAAAAGGCCGTTCTGGCATCCGGGAGTTGCAGCAATCTGGTTCTGAAGGGCCCCGTCTGTACACCCCCCCAAACGTGGACTACCCACCCAACGTCACCGGGACCTCGGTGACACCGAGCCTGGCCCGCGCGGAATGGGCGTGTCACTTGCATTCTGGCGACACGCTTGTCTCGGAGTCATGCTACGGCCTGTGCGTGGGCCATATCTCTGATCAAACATGTTGCTGTCGCCTGGGCGCCAGCGACATCCTTCATTGAGCATGCCGCTCTCGCCTTGGCGCCATTCAAATCTCAGATGGAAAGTTGTGCTGTTGTTTAGGTGCCAGCGACTTCCTTCATTGAACATGTCGATCTCGCCTTGGCGCTGGCCGCATCTCTGATCGAAAATGGTGCTGTTGCCCAGGCGCTTGCGGCATCCTTCGTTGAGCATGTCTTTCTCGCCTTGGCGTCAGGCACATCTCTGATTGAGAGTGTTGCTGTCGCCTAGGCGCTGGCTACATCCTTCATCGAGCATGTCGATCTCGCCTATGCGTGGGCCACGTGTGTGATTGACAATGTTACTGTTGCCCAGGCGCCGGCGACATCCTTCATTGAGTATGTCGTTCTCGCCTCGGCGCCGGCCGCATCTCTGATTGAAAATGGTGATGCTGCCTAGGCGCCGGCGACATCCTTCATTGAGCGTGTTGTCCTCGCCCTGGCGCCAGCCACATCTCAGATTGAAAATTGCGCTTCCACCTAGGCGCCAGCCGCGTGCATGATTGCGATTGTTGTCTCGCCTCAGCGCGGATCGCGGTCTCGATTCGGATTGCTGCTCTCGCCAAGAGCCGGTCGAAAACATGACAGCGAATGATATCGTCTCTGCTGCTTCGGCCCCGGCCGCACCCTTGATTAGGAATGCCGCTCCCACCTTGATTATAGATTACACCATCGCTGGGGCGCCCGCCACATCTTGATTGCGAGCACCGTTCTCGCCACAGGGGAAGACGCAGCCTCACAAGCCTGTGGGCTGCGCAAGCTTCCGGATCGCGGCCCCATCCGCGGCCAGTTTGGCACCAAAGTGAGGTGCTACCAGTGGCGCTAGTGCTGGCTGCTGGTGACGCTCGTGGTTCTGCTGGTGGTTCTGCTGGTGGTGCTGCGAGTTGCTGCTGGTGGCGCTGGTGCTGCTGCGCGTCGTGGTGCAAGTCTCTGTCGAGCTACTCACAGAGGCGGTGCTGGTGGCGCTGGTACTGCTGCGAGTGGTGCTGATGTTTCTTGTCGTGCTGGTCAAAGTGGAATTGCTTGTTGCGCTCGTGCTGCTTTTACTGCAGGCCCGACGCGTGGCGGCCCGCAGCCGCCGCATCGGGCACTGGCGACGCCGGCGGCCTGGGTAGCGTTGTTACTAAAGGCCCCCGCTGGCGCAACCCTTCCCGCTGGGAGCGACCGGCCCCTGGGCTTGGGCCGAGCAGTAGTTGCTCGGGGGGTGGGGTTCGCACCGGCTCACAGCCAAGCTTCGCGCGGATGGATTGCGCATCTCTGCTCTGGTGCGCCCCGGATGCCCAGCGCAGAATCGAACGATCTGGGCCGTGACGCTTTACGCTGGAGCACGGGCGCGCCTCCTCCCCCGCCGATCCGGCCAGCGAGGGGATGGGAGTGCTCGCGCAGTTCAGCGCGAATAGCCTGGCTCTGCCGGTGCCCGCCGCGACCGTTCTGGCGAACTGTTGGTATCGTTTGTGTTGCTTCGCGAGGTGCTGCTGCTCCCGTCGTGTCGGTCACAGTGATGTTTTTGGTGGCGCGGGTGCTTTTTGTGCGCATCGCTGCTGGATCCTGTCGTGCTCGTCGCAGTGCTGCTGCTCGTTGCGCTTGCGCTGATGCGCGTAGCGCTGCTGCTCCCTGTCTTGCAGGTCACACTGCAGTTGCTGGCGTCGCTGGTGTTGCTTTGCGTGGCGCTGCTCCTTTTTGTCGTGCTCGTCGCACTGATGTTGCTGGTGGCGCTGGAACTGCTGCGCTTGCTGCTTACTATCGTGCTCGTTACAATGGTATTACTGGTGGCGTTGATGTTGTTTCGCGTGATGTTCCTGAATCCCCGTCGCGGTCGTCATGCTTGTGCTGTCAATGCCGCTAGTACTGGTGTGCGCGGTTGTGTTGCCTGCTTCCGTGCTAATCCGCAGAGCTATTACAGATGTCGCTTATACTGCTCGAACTACTGCTAGTGGTGGCGTCGATGAAGGTGTAGTGCTCGTCACAGTGGTTCTTCTTGTTGCGCTAGAGCCGGTGCGCGTGGTACTACTGGTTCCCGCTGTGCTGGCCAACGTGTTATTGCTGGTTGCGCTGGTGCTTCTGCGTGTCGTGCTGCTTCCCGTTGTGCTTGTTACGGTGGTGTTGCTGGTGACGCTGGTGTTGCTGCGCGTGTTCCTGCTGATTGCTGTCACAGAGGTACTGGTGATGGTGATTGCGTTGCTCGCGCTATTGCTGCTGGCGGCGGTGATGCTGCTGCGCGTAGTGCTTCTGCTTCCAGCAGTCCTCGGCGCAGTGGTAGTGTTGGTGGCACTGGTGCTGCGCGTAGTGGTGCTAGTCACTAGTCTTTGTCTTGGTATTCGCAGTTAGGCTGCTGATGGCGCTGGTGGTGCTGCTGCCTGAAGTACTGCTGCTTTCTGTCGGGCTGATCACAATTGAAGTGCTCGTTTTGCTCGTGCGGCTGTTGCTTCACGACCGACGCGGTGCGGGTCGTCGGGCGCATCTCCGCCAGGCCGCGGGAGCTCTGGTGCGAGGGGTGAGCAGTTAGCGCGTGTGGGGCACGCTGTGGGCTCTGCCCTGGGGCGACCCTGGTGTCCAGCGCGCAATCGAGCGAACTGGGACGTGACGCGTTGTGCTGGACTGCCGGAACAAGCCCCCCGCTGGCCACCCTCCCGCCCCCTTCCTGTCCAAGTGCATTACCTGGTGGCGCCTGCGCGCTAAGGCTTGGTTGAGAATTGGTTTGCGGAATGGAACAAAACAAAATACACAGGGTGAGCCTCAGTTGGTCGTAGCCAAAAGGCTTCTTTCAGCATTCGCAAAACCTGGATTCGTTTAAGTCGTCTGCAATGTATTTCTCATTCCCAAAGCGGGACATTCGGATTCAGCACACACCTTCCAATGTAAGATTGTTCGTATGCAACAGCACCGATACCTAATGCTTATGTGACAGTGGACATGGTGGAACAAACAGCGTGGACAATCTTCCGATGTAGAGGCGGCCAGTCGTAATCCAGCAGACGGTAGATTCCCGGCATCAGCCTTTTTCACAGCTAGCCGAATTTACAAAGTATCTGAACGTTTCGTCCTGACTTCGAATATCGCTGCCGCATCAGATCCTCTCACTACGGTGTACACAGCTCAAGTCCTTTCTTGGCGTGTGAATAATGCGACACATTGGGATGTTTGCGTCTCTGGCCAGCTGGGATGTGAGGGCTCTCGCGCAGTCCAGTTCGAATCGCCTGTCGTTCTTGTGGAACTGCTAGTAGGTTTTGTGTTGCTGCGCATGGTGTTGCTGCTTCCCGTCGTGCCGGTTATAATGGCGTTGCTGGTGGCGTTGGTGCTGCTTCGCGAGGTGCTGCTGCTCCGCGTCGTACTTGTCATAGTGATGCTGCTGGTGGCGCTGGTGCTGCTGCGCTTGGTGCTGCTGGTTGATGCCGTTATTGTCACAGTGGTGTTGTTGCTAACGATTCTGCTGCGTCGCGTGGTGCTGCTGCTTCCCGTCGTGGTCGCCATAATTGTGCTGCTAATGTCGCTGGTGTTGGTACGCGTGCTGGTGCTGTTTGCCGTCGTGCTGGTCGAGGAGGTATTGCTGGTGTCGCTTATTTCGCTTGTGCTTCTGCTGCTGACTGTGTTGGTGCTACTCTTGCTGCGCGTAGTGCTGCTGGGCCCGTCGGCCCGGACACCCTGTTCGCCGCGTGCGCTCTTCGCTCGTGGCCGCGACCGAAAAAGTAGCGCTGCTAGTCCCCGCCGAGGTTGTCGTACTTGTGCTGCTAGTGTCGCTTGTGTTGGCGCGCGTGGTGGTGCTATTTGTCGTCGTGCTGGTCATATGGGCACTGGTGGTGCCGCTTATGTTGCTTGCGCCACAGCTTCTAGATGCGTTGGTGGTGGTGGTGGTGGTGGTGCTGCTGCTGCTGCTGCGCATGGTGCTGCTGCTCCTCATAGTGCTCGTTTCAGTGGTGCTGTTTTTTCGCTAGAGCCGGTGTGCGCGTGCAGTGGGGCATTTCGTCCACGATAGCGACGGAGGCTCTGGCCCCACCGTTGGCCACATGCACTATTACGATTGTCGTTTCGGCTTCAATCCCGGCCGCATCCATGATTGCGAATGTTGGTGTCGACCCGGCGCCGGCCACATCGTCGACTGCGATTTTCCCAGCGCCAGCCACATCAATGATTGCGAACGGTGTTTTCGCTGCAGCGCCGGCCACATCCATGATTGCGAACGTCATTCGCCACAGCGCCAGCCGCATCCACTATTGCAGAAGGTGCTTTCGCTTCAGCGACAGCCGCATCCATGATTGTGAGCGTTGCCCTCGCTTCCGCGCCAGCCTCCGTGATTGCGAGCGCTGCCTTCGCCTCAGCGCCAGCCGCATCCATGATTGCGAAGGTTGCCCTCGTTTCAGCGCCGGCCACACCCACGATTGCGAAAGATGCTCTCGCTTCAGCGCGGGCCACATCCACGGTTGCGAAAGTTGCTCTCGGTTCAGCGCCAGACACGCGCCGGCCACATCCACCATTGCGAAGGTTGCTCTCGCCACAGCGCCGGCCAGACTCTTCATTGGAACCGAAGAGGGATCAGCGCTACACTTGGCACTTTTGCATTGCGTGCTGCTGTGTCGCTCCACTCTGGCGCGCGCACGCGTGAACACTGGTGTCGCCGAGCCGTTGGTCACGTTAGCTTTCATGGGTCAGGTTCGTTTTGGCGCAGTGTCGACAGGGGCTGGGTCAGGTTAGGTTCGGGATTTGCTGGTTAGGGTGTGGGTTTGTAGTGCTAAATTGCGAGGGAGTCTCAGTCGAAACGGCCGTTCTCGCATCCGCAAGAAGCGGCAATACTGCTCTAAAGAACCCTCTTGTGGTGCTACACTACGAGGGAGTCGAGCGCCCTTCCTGAAAGTCGTGCCCTCTCTGGCCAGGGCGTCTCGGAGTAAATTGTGAGGAAGTGCCGCACGGGAGCGTTGCTGTTGTTGTTGCTGTTGCTGTTGCTATTGCTGTTGCTGTTGCTGTTGTTAGTGTTGTTGTTGTAGTTGTTGTTGTAGTTGCTGTTGTAGTTGTTGTTGTTGTTGTAGTTGTTGATGTAGTAGTTGTTGTTGTTGTTGCTGTTGTTGTTGTTGTTGTTGTTGTTGGTGTTGTTGTTGGTGTTGTTGTTGTTGTTGTTGTTGTTGTTTTGGTGGGGGGGCGGCTTGGGCTCTACCCCGAAACGCTGGAGCATGACCTTTACTTTCAAAGGGGATGCAGCCAGCGCCGGGGCGAGAGCGCCAAAGCGCTTCTAGGGGGTCCAACAACAATACCTACTGAGTAGTTGACATTCAACAGCACAGCAGCAACGCAACAACAAGACTCAGCGCAGCGGAATGACACTTCATTCACGGACTGGGCGACAATGACTGACCGCTCGGCCCCCTCATTCTGACCATGTTGTGGCCCGCTAGGAGCGGCAGACGAGCGCGACACGGGGCATTCTTTTTCGCGGACGCCCCGCGCAGAACGTATCCATGCGATTGCGTATCCGCGGGATCGCGCCCCCGAGTCCAGACCGCGGGGGCGTGGATATTGCAGGATGATGATGAAGAGACTGCTGGAGGTCGTGTTCACGCGGCGGCCCCCCCGGATGATGATTAGCAGAACGAGCCCCCAGCCCGGATTTGTTTTTCATCGTTCCCTCCCGCCCTCGTCGGGCGCGCGCCCGGACAGACGAAGGGCCAGACGGAGCCGAAGCGAAGCGGAAGCCGAAGATTCGGCAACTGTTTTGTTTTATTGTTCTTTCACCCCGCAGTCTTGTGTTCGGGGGTGGACAGAAAACCCTCCCTGACACGTCGATAAGCGAATTGTCCGTTCTCGGTTCTCGAGATGGCGCCGCGGCCGTCATATTCCAGGCTCGCGCCCGCCAGGTTTGGGCCCGAGGTCGTTTTCGAAAGACCACGTTTTGATAACGGGGGTTCTGTCCATCCCCGATATAGTGGTCGCCATCCGAACGACATTGCGGATGAGCTCTCGCCGCTCGTGGCCAGGTGCTCGTGCGGCTGGAGCGGCAGCAGAGCGCGGAGCGGGCCCTGCGCGCCCGGGACGGGGAGTTCCGGCAGCGCGAGGCGGCCGACCTACCACGCAAAGCGGGGTCCCTCCGCCGGAGTGGCCTTTTTGCTCATGGTTCGGGAGCCTCGAGACGGGGGTCAGTGCAAACGGGGGTCAGCCAGAGCGCCCCGACCTTGCAGGATCCTGCAGGGCCAGGGTCGCATTGACCCGGGTTTGGGTGCAGGATCCTGCAGGATCCTGCAGGATCCTTCGCATTGACCCGGGTTTGGGTGCAGGATTTTGCAGGATTTTGCGGGACTCTGCAAGGCCTGACTGACCTGGGTTTGGATTGAACCCGGTCAGCAGGTCCCCGAATGGTGCGGGCCCAGCGCGATGCGATAGGAGGACGACGACGACGACAATGGCGACGACGACCCACGACGACCCACGACGACCGACGACGGCGACGACAACGACGACGACGACGACGACGGCGACGAACACCGACGAAGACGACGACGACGAACACCGAGGCTGGCGACGACGACGGCGACGGCGACGACGACGACGGCGGCCGACCGACCGACCGACCGACCAACCGACCGACCGACCGACGACCCACGACCGACGACCGACGACCTCGCCCGGGGGAAGGATGAACGACGTTCCAAGGTTACCCTTGCATCCTTGCCCTCTCGGACCATTCTTAGCGACTTTCCCTGGCCAGCCTCGTTCGAAAAAAAAGGCTAGCATAGCCCTCCGAGGCCCTTGCGTTCTTACTGCGCATCCTTGCTGTACGGGTTGGCTGTAGTAGCATCCCGCGCGCCTGTGCCTGGTTCCCCGCGGCCCCCAAACACCCGCGCACCAAAGGTCACTCTTACTTTCGAAACCGATGGTAAGGATGGATCGCCTTCCAGGGGTATCCTTGCATCCCTGTATTCTCGGTCCATCCTGAACCACGTTCGATGGCCGCATTCCGCTCGAAAAGTGTCCACAGAGGCTGACAAGGGGCTGGCATTCTTATCGCGTTTCCTTGCTATCAGTTTTGACTGTACACCCAGAAGGCATCTTAAGCGTCCACCTTCATGGGCCCTAGAATTCGCGTAAGCAAATCCAGCATCTGGGCTGGGCCCTGGGCGTTTTCTTGGAACTTTCTTCATCGTAGAACTTACGTTCATCTGGACCTGGACAGTTGTTTAAGGAAACACATTGGAGCGGAGACCAGTTTCTTAACGTAACACCGACTCGCTTTAACTCTAGTCAAGGGTGTACCCCGTGTCATTCCTGCATGCAGCGGAGGTGGAGCTGTCGCGGGTGCGCGGGATGCTGGGCGAGGGCCCGCGGCTGCTGGCCGCCGCGGTCGGCAGGGTGGAGCAGCTGGAGGCCTCCCTGCAGGCCTTGAAGGAGGAACATAACAGTCATCCACATCGCGTAACGGGAATGTCAGCGAATCCAGAAGTTAAGACCCGTGGGCTTCCGAGTTCATTCATCTCGTTTCCCGGTAGGAGGAGAGGAGGAGGAGGAGGAGGAGGAGGAGGAGGAGGAGGAGGAGGAGGAGGAGGAGGAGGAGGAGGAGGAGGAGGAGGAGGAGTTTTCACAGGCTCGGCGACTAGCGTGCAGGCACGATTAGGCGACTCGGGCGCGCGCCCGACAAGGGGAAGATTGCCCGAGCACCTCCCGACGCGGGAGTGTCAGCAGGCGCAGCCAGGGGCCTGCACGCCGTCAGCGTCTTCTCCCACGACGACCAGGTCTCCGACCAGGGCGTCGCGGACGAAGTCCGCGAACGGCTGTGGCCGAACCTGGCTGCTGGCCGAGGGCAGCAGCGGCAGACCAGTGCGCGGGTGCTGCCCAGCCCACAGGCGCCCCAAGCGGGGCCGCGGTCTGCGGGGGGAAAGCCCCGAAGCAAAGCTGCGCGAGGAGCTGGGCGTTCGCGCTCGAGTGCGCCTCGCAACATGCGCAGAGAAGGAAGGAACCCACGCTCCGTACGCCATGGCCTCCTCCTGGGGCACACACCGCGGGGGAGAAGGCGTCGCGCGCCCTCACGACGCGGTAGCAACGAGCGCATCGGAAGCCCCTGGCGCACGGCACGGGCTCGTGGGAGCCGTCGGGCGGCGCCGTGTCTGCCGTCAGCTCGGGGGTGCGACCTCGCTGCTGCGCACGCCGCACGAGGCCGTGCTGCGGTGCATCCTGCTGGCTCGGGCCCGTTGTCAGCATGACCCGAGCCAGGAACTCAGTTACGAGAGTCACGAGGCGGAGGGTGCGCTTCACGCGCTCCGTCGCCGCCTCGTCGACGGGTTGGAGGGAAGCGCCCTCCCGAACGCCACGGTCAGCAAAGGGATTGCCCCAGCGCTTGACCATGCCTCGCTCGACGTCGCCGTCCTGGCTGAGGCGAGCATGGCCTTTAATTTTCAGCACCTCCACCCCACCACCAAGGTCGTCCACCCGATCTCAAATCCGTGACCAGAGGTTCGCGACCTCGCACTGTGCGCCCGTCGTCTCGGCACGCCCACGCGCAAAGCTCGATACGACCCACGCACAGTCCGAGTGGAAGCGGAAAGGTCCCAGCGCCGCATGCATCAAGTACATGAGGAGGGCGACGGCCTCCGCGAGGTCCGACGCCTGGCGCGGGCCTGGAAGCAGGCCGCACAAGGATGCGACCAGGGAGCAAGTGGCATCAACCTGGACCACCGACCATGCAGCCCGCTCTAGCGAGTCGGGGGTCGCCTTGCACAGGAGACGTGCACGAGCCGTCACCGAAGGCCTCGCCTTCGATGTTACCTTGCACAGGACGCTTGCGCCATTTGACGAGGAGGGAGGGCGCGGAACCAGGCACAGAGAGCCGAGGATCAGGGACCAGGGCGTGCCTCCAGAGGGTCCAGGCCGAGTGAGCCTCCTTTTCAGCCCGAAGAGAAGGGGGGAGGTCGTAACCTCGCACGAGCCCGGGTCGCCGAACACTGGCCCGGGACCCAGGCCGAAAAGGTCCATGGGCACTCGCAATGACATGGCGGTGTTTCCTAGCCTGCTCCCAAGTTCCATTGGCTACGATCGCACGGAGGGTCACCCAATGCCGCGAGTTCCTGTCTGGCCCTAGCGCCGTCGACCGCGGCAGCAACAGTGCCAAGGGCCCCTGCACCGTCGCGCGCGCCGGGAGCGGCGGCGGCGCCCGCGGCCTTCGGGGCAACAACGGAAGCGGTGCCTGCAGGCTCGGCAGCGCCCGCGCCGCCAGAGGCGGCCCCGGGCTGTTCCTCCTCAGCGTCCTTGGCGGGCGGGGGCGCGCTCTCCGCCGTGCGATTCCTCTTGGACTTGAGGCGCCCCCGCTGCTCGCGGCGTGCCCTGTCCAGCGCCTGCGCCTCCGATTGGACCTGGCAGGACGCTTCCTTGGCCATGGTGGCGAACTTGTCCTGGAGCTCCTCGCGGCGCCGCAATCCTCGAGGGCCTCCAGGCCGAACGGGCCTTCGTCGATCAGCGCCCAAGCCGCCTTTCCTCCAGACCGCCGAGATGCTGAGGGCGGGGGCCGCGACCTCGCGGGCGGGCGTCGCCGTGGTGGCCAGGGCCTGCACCGCGCTGGCGTATGCCGCGGTGGCGCCGTCGAGGGCCGCAGTGCACTCGGCGACGGTCTCCGTGGCCTGGGCGACGCGCTGCTGGAGCCCGTCGGCCACGGCGAGGGCTGCGTCCAGGGCTGCAGCAGCCGCGCCCCGCGTTGCGCCAGCCTCGGCGACGGACAGCGGCTTGGCCAAGCGCTTGGCCCTGTGCTCGTCCAGCTCTCGCTTGTACTTGGCCTCATCGGGGTCCACGTCGGCTTCCAGGACCTGCGCCTCGCCAGAGATGCGGGCGCCCAGGCTGCTGCTGTGTGGGCGCCCTCCCGCGCCGTGAGCACCACCTGCGGCGGCCCCTGCTGCCCCCGCGCCTGGGGAGGGGCGGCCTCTGGGCGCAGGCTGCTGGGCGGCGTCGGCGCCGTCGGGGGCGACCGCCGCGAAGCGCCAGGGCGGCGCGCGGGCCGCGCGGCCGCGGCTGGAGGCCCTGCGAGAGCTGCCCCCAGCGCCGCCAGCGCCAGCGCAGCCAGGGTGGCCCCAAACCAGTGGCCTCTTGCAGTGGCCGCACCAGCTCCACCACGTCTCGTTCTTGCGGCAGCCACAGTGCGTACAGGCCAGGCGCGCGCCTCCACCCGCGGCGGCCATGCCGCGGCGCGTGGGGGACGTCGCCGCCGAGCCGTGGTGGCTGTCCAGAAGCGCCGCAGCGGCCTCCAGGTGGCAGCGCTGGCGGGGCGAAGGCGGCCCCCGCCACGCGCGCAGGAGTGCGCGAGCAGAAGCGCGCTCGCGGCGGAGGCGCTGGTGCCACAGTGCCTCCGATGGCAGCGCGATGGTCCCCGCCCGAGGGGAACTTGCGGCGGCCCGTCTGCCCCCAAGCCCTCGGGCAGAAACTGGGAGAGGAGGAGGAGGAGGACGAGGAGGAGGAGGAGGAGGAGGAGGAGGAGGAGCAGGAGCAGGAGCAGGAGCAGGAGCAGGAGCAGGACGAGGCGGGCGAAAATCAGTGAAGTCGCGAGATTATTGATGTCGCCTCCCGGTTTCAATACTCATCGACGTCTTTATCCCCATCCCCATCCGCATCCAGATGGGGATGGGGATAGGGACATGGGGTCGGTTAAACGATGCTCAGGAGCCAATCGCTGCACAAGCCTAGAGACTGTTTTCGTGAAGGGTCCAGGCTATAACCTGCGGGGGAGGAAGAGTTACCCATACCGCTACCCTCCGCCCGTTTTTCCCCGCTGGGGCCTCCTGGGAAGCCCTCATCGCCACCGGTGCATTCGCGTCGAAATCCTCGTCAGAGCGCACCCCGGGAGAGGTCTGGGAAGTTGTAGCATCGGTGCACTCTGGCTTCCACAAAGATTGTTGTTTTTTTCAGGGTCTGGCGATAACTCGGACTATGGGGCCCTCCCGCCCCCCTCCCCCCCCCCAGATGTAGCCTGACCTTTCTAGGTTGTGCATGTCTGACGGGGGTGTGCAGTGCTGGTGTGCGCGGGCACGCGTGGGGATGCCCAGAGCGACGATGTTAGGTTATCCACCGGCATCTACCCCCCCACGGATAACCCAGGCTATCGCCGAATCAAAAAAACAGATCTCCTAGACTTCCGGTGGTCCGCGCGGGTTTCTCGGAGGGCAGACTGATGGCGCCGTGCCCACTATCCAACGAGGGCCTTCGGGCACCAGTGCGGGACGTGAGCATCGTTGATTCGATCCCTATCCCAGTTGGCGTGGCCTCTGCTCCTAGTTGGAGATAGATCCCTGTTTCTTCGGATTTCGCGGGGCCTGCTCCCACCTAGGAGGGTGGGCTGATGGGGCTGACATGCCATGGCCCAGTGGGGTGCTGAAGAAGGGCGAGCCCTTCGCCCCTCAAACGGAGCAGCCAGCCTCAAGGCTGTCCATGGAAGGAGAAAGTCTGCCTAAAGTTATGCTTTCGGAGATCCGCGCGGAATTCTCGTATCGGCGCTGGATTCCTTTCCCCTGGCGCGCGGAACGCACCAGGGGCGGCGCCGCAGGCGCCGCCAGGGGGGCCGAGGGACGATCCAAGAAATCCGCGCGGACCTCCGAAAGTTTATGTTTAGGCAGTGCCGTCTACACGAGAGGGTTCTCGCGCCGTTCCGCGGTCTTCCTTCTCTCCGCCCGTCGCCCATCTGCGCCCCTGTGCTTCAATTCGCAACGGATGCGTGCCGCCGTTTGCTTGGCCTCTTGTTGGACCCAACTCGCCGCAGGCCAAACGCGTTTATGCTGAGCTTTCACGTCTTTTGGCTTTCGGGTCATGCCTCGGCTCTCTGGCGGCCGTTCGGGCGCATCCCTGGAACGCCCTCGGCGAGGCGGAGCCACTGGGGAGCCTCCAGAGGCTGGAAAGCCCCAGAGAATTTGCGAAAACGCCCGAAACCTCGCCGTCGATTGTTATGCCGTCTATGCTTCTGCAGAGTTCTCTTCCCCTGAGGCTGCCGAGCGGGCGAACGAGTTCACGCAGTCGTCGGCGTCGTCGTTGCCGACGCCGCCGCCGCCGCCGCCGTCGTCGTCGTCGTCGGCGTCGTCGTCGCCGACGCCGTCGTCGTCGTTGTCGTCGTCGTCGTCGTCGGCGTCGGCGTCGCCGCCGCCGCCGCCGCCATCGTCGTGCGCCAAGGCCGCCGAGCGGGCGATCGAGCATGGGGCCCGGCACGCGCAGGGGCTCGAGCGGCAGGCCGCCCGGCTGGAGAGGGAGTCCGCCACGCCCGCGGCACTGGCCGAGGAGCGCGGCCTCTTGGCCGCGGCCTCGCGCGAGCGCGACGAGGCGAGGCAGGACCTCGGCTGCATCGTCGTGGTTGTCGTCCTCGTGCTCGTCCTCGTCGCCGCCGCCTTTATCGTCGTCGTCGTCGTCGTCGTCGTCGTCGTCGTCGTCGTCGTCGTCGTCGTCGTCGTCGTCGTCGTCGTCGTCGTCGTCTCAAGGTGTTCGAGCCTTGGCTGCGCGTAGCCCTGGGACCTCAGCTGCGCGTTTGTCCAGGCCTCCCATATAGGGTCCGAGTAGATGGGGTCGGAGGATCGCGCTGCATCGCCAATACATCGGGGATGCGGCTCCACGTAGAGTCCGATGTTCTCCACTGCGACGGAGACGGTGCATCGCTCGGCGATGCACTGGTGACGCGGCGCGATTCACCGACCCCATCCACTCGAACCCTACTTGGAAGGCCTCTAAGTCTGCACCCTCGGGGCCCCGCGCGCAAGCTCCATGATGTCGCTCGCGCGCGCGCGCGTAAAGGGAGGTCGTTTTCAGAAAAAATGTACAGTCGGGAGCTTTGGACTAGCGTGTCGCTTCATCGGTCCTGGCCCACCACGACTCGGCGCGACACGCCATCACCTCGCAAGGCACAGCGTGTGGCCAGGGCCGCTGTGGCGACACGCTGAGCAACAGTCCCCGACTGTAGGCGACTGTAGGCACCCTCGGGACCCCGCGCGCCAGCTTCATGGTGTCGCGCGCGCGAGCCCTCGGATTGCTGACCCTCAGGAGCGAAGACGTACGTGTACATGGATCCGTCGTGGGTTTCGAGGGCGTGCGTTGCGCGAGCGTTCGCGACACGAGGCTGGCTTCGCGGACTGGGGGGATCGTGTTCCAGCAAGTGGCTGGGCTCGACCGTCTTTGGTGGGCTCCCTAGATCTGGGGGCGCGCGTGCGCCTCTGGAACGCGCGCTCGCTCCGTCTCGCGCGCGCGCCCTCCGATTGCTGATCTGGGCGCGCGCGCGCGATTTGCTGGGTCGCGCTCCACTCCTCCCCGAGGCATCGGGGATGCGCCTCGATGTGGAGCCCAGTCTTCTCCGCTCCGACGGCGCCGATGCATCGCCGGCGCCGCCGATGCATCGGCGATGCATCGGCGACGCGTCGCGAGCCTCTAACCCCATCTCGGACGGGGCTTGGACGAGGATAGATCCTTTCCAGACCGTTCCGGAACGCTCTCAGAACGTTCCGGAACGCTCTGATAAGGCCGCAGCGCCCGAGGCATCCTCCAGAGCCGCCAGATATCAGAGATTCCTGATTTATCTATTCGGAGCCGATGTCATCCTCGTCCCGGCTTCGTCTTACCATCTTCTTTGGCCCCAGCTGGGAGGCCTCTAAGCGTGCATTCTCGGGGCCCCGCGCGCTTAGCTCCACGATGCCCCGCGCGCGCGCGCCCTCGGATTGCTGATCTGCGCGCGCGCGTCCCCCTGGGGACGTGCGCTCATTGTTTCGAGCCAGGCGTTTTCGACTGGTTTCGGGCCCGGGACCCTCACACATCAATCTGGCTCGAAACATGGCGCAGGAAGATGGGATCTGGGACTCTGGTCGTGATTGCTCACGGTGTTTGTGTTTCGCGCCGTCGGAGCACAGGGAATAGGGACCCCTCGCCATGGTGACCTTTGGCCGAGGAAGACAAGCGGCATACACCAAAGCTTTCCACGCGGCCCGCGGATTTTTTTTGGGGGTCGGCGCTGGGCCCCCCCTGGCGCGCTGCTGCGGCGCCGCCCCTGGCGTGCTCCGCACGCCATGGAGGGGTGTTCATCACGGGTTGAAGAAGTTCGCGCGGACATTCGAAAGTTGACACGCCGGTTGTTGAAATTAGGTGTTTTGTATATTTCCTGATCCCAAATTTACTTCAAGCGCCTTCTTACTTCAATCATCGATATGCGTTTGCTGCGTGTTCTTCTTCTCTGGGAGGGCCTAAACCCAACATACTTTATCCGTCTTCCTACTGCATGTTTTCACATATTCCAACCGACGTGTGCCCGTGCTCCCTGGACCCTTCCCAGGGTGCGTTCTGACCAGGATTTCCAGGAGACCCCAGCCGGGGCGACGGGAGCTCTCCAGGACGAGCAGCGGCATCGGTATAGCTTTTCCTCCTCCAGCTAAAGCCGCGCGCCAAGGGTCACTCCTGCTGCCCCCCCTCCTGGAAAGGCAATGCAAATTTGCAGGTCGTCTCGAAGAATCGTCTAAGGGAGTTCCCCAGGGGTAGTTTTTCATCTCTGGCTCGTTTCTGACATTCCTGGGGCTCGGAAACAGCCCCCGGAGACCAAGAGCTACGAAAAGCCGAAGGCGACGAAAGCAAACAAAGCGACGATTAAAGCTGCATTACTTTGCCAGGGCAGTGGAGCGTCGCTCTTGCCAATGGCCAGGTGGCTTTCCGGCCATAGCTCTGCTGTCCAGCTGCGGTTCGTGACTACCCTGGTCACCCCAGAAGGGGGCCGCTCACTAGTGGGGCACGTCCTCTCTGTGGGCTCCCGAGCCAGGCTTGATGGGCCTGTTATCCACCACCACCACCACCATCAGTTGGAGGGGGGAAGGAGGAGGAGGAGGAGGAGGAGGAGGGAGGAGGAGGGAGGAGGAGGAGGAGGAGGAGGAGGAGGAGACGAGGAGGAGGAGGAGGAGGAGGAGGACGAGGAGGAGGAGGAGGAGAAGGACCCCCTGCCCCTCCAACTTATGGTGGTGGTGGTGGTGGTGGTGGTGGAAAACAGGCCCATCAAGGGTCGCTCTTGCGCGCAGCGCTCCCGCCCTGCGCAGGAAGAGGGCGGCCTCCGCGAGGAGCTCGCTCGGGAGCGAGCGCGCCTCGGCGAGCTGCTGCGGGAGCTGCAGCAGGAGCGCGAGCAGAGGCGGGCGCTCGCCCAGCGCCAGGAGCCAGTCGGCGGCGAGCGACGGGGGGGGCGGAACTGCGAGGTTCGAACTCCGAGGTTCGAACTTCCAGAAGGTTTCTCGTAGTTTTCGGTTTTCGGCCTCTGGGGGCCGTTGTCGGGTCCCGGGACCCCCGAAGCTCGATCCGGGGTGAAAAGCCGTGTCGGATGGACCCCGGGAGGGGTCCGGGGAACCATTTTGACCGATATTCGGCGGCGCGCCCAGGGTGGTAGGTGAGAAGGAGAAGACCTTCTCAGAAGGCGGTGGGACTTCTCAGAAGCCCCCGCGCCCTCCGAGAAGTTGTTGGCGTCTTCCAGGAAGGCTCAGAACACTTTTCAGAATGCCCGGGGACTTCCGAGCTTTCTGAGAAGGCCCGCCCCTTCTCACTTTTCCCCCTCGCTCGCCGCCGAACCAGATGGGGCAAAAAGTCGTGGTAAGGATACACTCAGCGTGGAGGACGAGCGTGATGCGTTGGCGCCGCGCTTTCTTTCACGACGGGCGTTTTCGCTCGGTTTCGGGCCCCAGAGCCCGCACAGATCGCTCTGGCTCGAAAAATGGCGCGGAAGGGTGGGGGCTGGGGCCCCAGTCGTGATTTTTCAAGGATGTCTCGCGCGTCGGATCTCAGGGAAGGAGACATCGCAATACGGTAGGGATCTTTTGGATAATTAGCGAGTCGCTCCGCCGGTTCTGGCCCACTGCGCTTCGGCGCGACACGCCGTCCGCTTCCCTGGGCCCCAGCGGTTGCCTTGCCGAGCCTCCCGGCCCGCGGAGCGGAGCGACACGCGATCATTTCGCAAGGCATGGCGTGTGGTCGGGGCCGCTGTGGCGACACGCTAAGTAAGGGTTCCCGACCGTAATGGTGCGTTCCTCCTTCTCCGCCCTCGCCGCCTCCTCGTGTCATCCTCTCAGTCCCCGAGCGTTTTTGCCTCCAGCCCCTGGGCGGAGGACGGGCTTCAGATCAAAATGATGTGTTCCTAGATTCCCCAGACGTGTCTGATTTCCCATGTTCCCCAGGGTCAAGGAGGAAGTCACGGTAAGGATGCGTTTCCAGACCGCCCCGCTCTCCAGGGCCTCCCAATGTCACGCATGGGCTGCAGAAGCGAGGGCCGCCAGACGCTCCGGAAGTTCTGGAACGCATCTTCTTGGGCCAACCGTCGCAACTATGACAGCCCTCCCAGACCCCCGACGTCATGATTTTGTCATGACGTCGACCCCCCGAGGTCTGCCTGGGCAGTTTTTTGACGGTCCCGAGGCCGGGTGAGGGCCCTCGGAGGCCTGAAGTAGCGAGAGGCCTCTCGTCGCGATGCGTTTCATGGCTCGATGGGGTCAGCGCATGTTGGCGTCCCGAGGAGGAGGAGGCCAGGGAGCGCCGGAGGGAGCAGGCCACCAGCGGGCCCCTGCGTCGCCAGCCGCGCGTGGAGCTGTGAGCGGCTGCGAGAGCGCGGGGAGCGCGCCGTCCGGCGGCAGCGGGCGCGCTCGGCCGCCGCTCCCGCCGCCAGCGAGGGGGGCGGCCGGGGAGCGCTGGGAAGGAGCAGGCTCCGAGCCGAGAGCCCTGCCGTGGCCGTGGCCGTGGCCGTGGCCGTGGCCGCCGCGCCGCCAGTCGTCCGTCGTCCGTCGTCCGTCGTCCGTCGTCCGTCGTCCGTCGTCCGTCGTCCGTCGTCCGTCGTCCGTCGTCGTCGTCCGTCGTCGTCGTCGTCGTCGTCGTCGTCGTCGTCGTCGTCGTCGTCGTCGTCGTCGTCGTCGTCGTCGTCGTCGTCGTCGTCACGACGAGAGGTTTTTCGCTACTCTCGGCCTCCGGGGGCCCCTACGGGGCCCCGGGATGACTCGTGGGTGCCCCCCGAGGCATGAAAGAGTTACGACGGCTTGCCTATTCGCTACTTTCGGCCTCGGGGGGGCCCTAATTACCAGGCCTCGGGGCTGTCAAAAAAACTACGCAGGATAAGAAACCAGTCTTGGGGAAGGGGTCCAGACCTCTGGGGGTCGACGTTATGAAAAAAAGATGACGTCGGGGGTCTGGGAGGCAGGGATTTGTACATCTCGACCGCCTAGGGGATCGATTTTCGGAGTCCCCGCCAGAGGCAGGAGGGTATCGGAGCACCATATTATTCATCAGGTTTCGTGCCCCTCCCACCCAGAGCGAGGAGGGTATCGGAGTACCCTACTGTTTCTCAGGTTTCGTGCCCCTGCTGCCCCTCCAGGGAGGCGGTGGATACGGACATATTCGGCCCTCTGGGGCCCAGGTATGTCCAGATCCACCGCCCGCTAGGGTCCCAGAACGTCGGTTCCACAGGCGGTGGATGTGGATACCGTGCATCCCCGCCTCGCACAGGCCGCCAGCGGAGCCAGGCGCCGCCGGCCGCGCGTGGCGCCGGTCGGGAGGCCGAGCCGCAGCCGCAGTCGCAACGCGGGCCGCATCCCGAGGCGCGCAGCCGCGGCGCAGCCCCCGCACAGGGCGGCCCGAAGCAGGGCGACGACTGAGATTCGGCCTCCGGCTTCGTCACTTCCAGGGTGTCCTCCTGTTGATAGACAACATCCTGCAACATGTTCTGATGTTTCTTTGTGAACGCCCCCACGTTCCACAGTGAGTACAGTGGAGACCCATGCCATGGAAAGCGTGACGTTCCCACACCAAAAATCAATGGAAGTCCTGGGGTCTCAGGGTTGGGCTTCTTGTGGAAGGTTTCGTGTGGACTGGCCTCCACTGTACTGGCGGGCTACGCCGCGATGTGTCGATTTGTCGGCTGGCCGAAATCCTGCGCCCCGCTGGCGATGCCAACCGACATTGATTCGGGGGCAGGGTGGCGCGATGAAGTTTGCGCCGGCGCCTCAGTCGCGCGGGTGGTGCAGGATTCTGTCCAACAACCGCCCTTCACGCCCCTCCCTCGGGGGCAACGATAGGGGGGATAGCCATGGGGGGGATGCATCGACCCCCAATCGCCCATTGATCGCCGATGGGGGCCCGATAGCCCCAACCTTCACAGCAAGGTGCGGATTCACTGCCGGGGTCCTATCGCCGATCTATCGGCGATGTATCGCCGATTCCAGGTGCATTCCCCCCCTATGCCAGTCCTCCCTTATCGTTGCCCCTCACTCCCTATGATTGGAAGGTCTGGCTGTCAGCCATGCCACGGTGGCCTGTTTTTCGGCTGTCCTTGTTCTGGCGCTGCAGCGCAGCTGCGCCGCTCAAGAAGAGCAGCGGCGCTGGCGGCAACACCAGGACGAGGCGGCTGCCCTGTCCAGTTCCTCCAGTACTTGCCAGGAGCAGAGGCCCAGCCCCCCGCCATGGTGATTTCTTTTGCAACGTGCACCCCCTGAGGTCTCGACCCATGCCCCAGGACCGGCTTTCCATCCTGAGCTGTTTTGGACGGTCTCGGGGTGGGCGAGATAAGCCTTCCGTGGTGATGTTTCCTTGACGTGAGGGACTCTGGGAATGTAGAGCCGCGTTCGCTCTGGAGGGCCTTACCGCCGCTGCCCGCGAGCAGCTCAGGAGGGGAGGGGGTCCAGTAGCGCGGCCTGCTGCATGAGGGCGCCCCGCTCCCGAGATAGGCCCTCCTGCCCCCCCCCCCCCCCGAAAATACACGCCCTCCAGTGTGTGTGTGTGTGTGTGTGTCCCTGGGTAACGACCTTTACAAAGAAAGAATTCGAACAGCAGTATCCCAGACGCCCCCAAGAGGGGGCCGATCCCTTCAGAGAAGCCCCCCCCTGCCTCAGGGGCAACGTTGGGGAAGGGGCGGGGGAGATCGGCTTGGGTGGGGGGGGAGATGCATCGACCCCCAATCGCCCATGAATCACGGACATGGGCCTGATAGCTCGCCCCGCCTAGGAACGTTCAGGTTCGTTGTCGGGGGCTCATCGCCGATAAATCGCCGACTCCCTCTGAGCCGGTCCCCCCGTGTCGTTCCCTCCCACGCATACTCATCACCGTCGTCATCGGCATCGACGGGGCTATTGTATACGCTGTGAACGTTAGGGGCTAATCTTCCTCCTTCTCCTCCTCCTCCTCCTCCTCATCCTCCTCCTGAGGAGGAGGATGAGGAGGAGGAGGAGAAGCAGGAGGAGGAGGAGAAGCAGGAGGAGGAGGAGGAGGAGGAGGAGGAGGAGGAGGAGGAGGGGGAGGAGGAGGAGGAGGAGGAGGAGGAGGAGGAGGAGGAGGAGGAGGAGGAGGAGGAGGCGGCGGCAAAGCAGGAGGAGGGCGGGCACCTCATACGTAGAGGCCTCACGGAGGAGTGCAGCACCGCCCCAACCAGGCCGGGGGCCTGGGTTTCACTTTGGCATCGCTCGGACGTGTGCGCTTCTATCTCGGCGAGGACCATCAGGGAGCATCCTGGATCATCTTGCAAAGAACAAATTCGCACGAAGCCGAAACATGCACAGGGAATTCACGTCCGGCGAGTTACCCCGCGCTTTTCAGGGGAAGCCGCCCACATGAAGTCCTCCTGAGCTCCCCGAGAGCCCCGACTGAGTCCCAGGGGTTATTTCGGGAGCGTCGCGTACGCGGCATTCCTATCGACTCGCCGGAGTGACCTTCGGTGCGGGCCCACTGGGGTCCTCCGATCGCCCGAGGCAACAGTGGCGTCTTGCGCGCTTGTGTTTGGCCCCTACCGCGGCCCCCCAAAAGCCGCGCACCAAAGGTCACCTTTCCCCAGGCCAATCACTGCGCGTAGCCGACCCCATGCCCCCAGGTACAGAGTTTATTGTTTCAGGCCATTTCCGCTCTGACTGCGTCGGTTCGGGAAGGTCATTCGGAGCGCCATCGCCCCCTCTTGTCCTCCTCCTCCTCCTCCCCTCCTCCCCCTCCTCCTCCTCCCCCCTCCTCCTCTCCTCCTCCTCCTCTCTCCTCCTCCTCTCCCCTCCTCCCCCTCCCCCTCCTCCTCCCCCTCCCCCTCCCCCTCCCCCACCGCCCACTCTGAGTGGCCGCCCCCCTCGCCGCGCGGCGCCAGACCTGGCGCGAGGCCCGCAGGGGGGGCCTCCGCCTGCCGGGCGCCTCTGGGACTGCGAGCGCACTCCCGCGCGAGGCGAGGGCTCAGCCGTCGGCCCCGCGAGCGCGCGCGGCAGGAAGAGACCCCCTCGGTCCCGCTCGCCTCTCGGCCGCCAGGAAAAGGTGGGCGCGCGCGCCAGGGGAGAGGAGAGGGAGAGAAGGCGGAGGCGGAGGCGGAAGCGGACGCGGCGGAGGAGGAGGAGGAGGAGGAGGAGGAGGAGGAGGAGGAGGAGGAGGAGGGGGAGAACGAGGAGGAGGAGGAGGAGGAGGGGAGAAGGGAGGAGGAGGAGGAGGAGGAAGAGGAGAAGAGGAGAGGAGGAGGAGGAGGAGGAGGAGGAGGCGCCCCGAGCTCCCCACGGAGCACGGAGCACCTGCCGCGGCAGAGCAGCACAGGCGCGCGGGCAGCAGGACGAGAGCCGTCGGTGCCGCCCGCCTCTCGGCGGAAAAGAACACGGAAGTGTGGGGCCGGGCGCTCCCCCGCTCCACGTCGGCCCTTTCTCTAGGTGGAGGGCCAGCTGAGACACCGGTAGTTGGACTTTCGGGGGGCGGGGTCGCTCGTCGCCACGGCCAAACGCGACTCGGGAACTTGGTGCGTTTGTCCGAGGCAGGGATTTATCCATAACCACCGCCTGGGGGATCGATCCGTGCGGATCTCCACCGGCGGTGGAGAAGGGTATATTCGGGCCCCCGGGGGCCAAACCACATCCATATCCACCGCCCGCTGGGGCACCAGGACGTCGGTTCTCAGGCGATGGGTATCGATAAATCCACGCCTCGCAGTTTGGACCTCGGCAGGGGTCCAAGGACCCGTTTTGAGCTGCCGCTGTCTCGAGTCACCCTGCTCCCACCTTCGGCCACGCGCCCCCAGCCAGGCAGAGTGAGCGGGATCCTGAACGAGCCATGGCATCACGGCTGGTGGGGGCTAGCTTCTTCCGCTCCGACAAGCAGTTCAGTGCGCCCCACCGTGAGGCTGAGGAGTGTAGCTGTTGCGAGCCCTCGGCTTTCGCCCGCCCTGCCCGCCATGCCGGAGCGGCTTGTGGAGTTTGTGTTGTTTCCCGCTTCGTGCGTGCCCAGGTGCTGGTACAGCTCGTGTTTAGTGCCAGCCGCCATTCGGCCGCATTAGGCATCTCGCTTCTTTCTCCCTCTTTCCCTCCCTGGCGCTACCTCCTTCTCGCTCTTTCCTCTCGTTTCGCATGCGGCACGCTCGCTCATCCTTCAGGCCACGGTTCAGCGCATATGCTTGCATATCGCACGCAGGTCGGCTCGTGTGGTGTTCTCGATTTGCCTGGCGACTTGTTGATTCGCACAGCGGTTGAGGCCGAGTCGGGTGAAGCTTTGTGGTTGCGATCCCACCTCAAACAAAATAAAACGGCCGATCGGGGCTAGTGGCGAACAAGCGAGGACAGCGGGGATCTCAATCTATCTGGGCGGCGGGGCAAGCGATTGAAAGTGGCGAGCCAACGATATTGCCAGGACCAGGGGAGCGGGGCCCCTCGGCACTACTGCTACGACGGCAGGCGATAGCAGGCAGAGCGGGCCATGGCCGAGCCTGCTTCGACAGCAGACAGGAAGGTGACGGAGGTAGGCAACCACCTGTATTCTTGCACATGCCTCATCATACATGTATGGGCGCAAAGATGCACATATCCATATGCATATGCATGAATACGAACATATACACGCATCATGCGAGAAGGAGAGAGAAAGAGAGAGCTATATATATATATATACCGAATATACATGTAGAGAGAGAGAGAGAGCGAAAGAACGCGATATATCGAGTGGCCTTCGGCCCATCCCCGCCATCGTGCCTGGGTTGTGGGCCATCCAAAAAGTGGTTTCGGAGCTTTCTCCAACTGCAATCGCAAGGTGTGGAACACCCTGCTGCGCCACACACACACACATCGCAGGGTGTAACAACCCCACATGCGCTCGACTTGAATCCCATTGCTGCACCTCGTTCCTAAGAGCTCACTTACAATCTTCACTATCCTTCTCTCCTGACTGCTCTGCTTATCCATCTTTCTCCTCATCCTTCTCGGATCCGGCTTCGGATTCCTCTTAAGGACCATGTTTTGCAATGCTTACGTGCTGCAATTCAGTGTATACGAGCCTGGGCGCGCACGTGCCGCTTGTGTATACACATATTTGCATACATAATGTGCATATCTCTGTATATATAGAGAGATATAGACAGAGAGAGTGTGTGGGATAGAGGGGATGCTATTCTTCACACAGGCGTATCCCCACCAGACCATCCAGAAACCCCTATCCATGACGGGAAAGGGACGACGAGACACATTTACTTAGTGAAATAAAGCGGGCAGCCATGGTGAACAGATAGATCTTTGGGAGCAAGGGGGTGGCCTTGGAGGGCCTCTTCGGGCCATCATCTGCCTGGGGCCCGCATGGGGGCGAGAAGAGGACGAGGAGGTGAAGAGGAGGAGGAGGAGGAGGAGGAGGACGACGACGACTAACACGACGACGAGGAAGTGGAGGCAACGTCAAAGGAAAACGATGAGCGCAAGCACGAGGAAGAGGAGGATGAGGAGGAGGAGGACAACGAGTACTGGGACAGATATCTTAACATCGCCTCTTGGAGCTCTCTTGAGACGCTCTTGGGGGATCTCGGGGTCCTCTTGGAGTTCGTTTTGGGGGGTCTTAGGGCCATCCTGGAGCCCTCTTGGGGATCCCTTGGTTGCCCTGGAGGGCCTCTTGGGGCCATCTTGGACGCCATCGATCAAAAGGGGGGGGGGTCCCCAATTTACCCCCTCTCCCCTCTGGGCCATCAAAATTGCCTCTTGAAGCGGTCTTGGGTGTGGACGCTCTTGGGTCGATCTTGGGCGCTCTTGGGGCAATGTTGGGGGCCTCATGGGCCCCACGTTGGTCTCTATTGGGCCATCTTGGGTAATCACGAGGCTTACAAAGTGCATCGGGAGCGAAAAGGCGAGACGGCACAACTCATTGTTTTCCCTCAGGTGTTAGAAGCATTCGGGCCTCTCGGGTCCTGAATGGGTGGTTCGCGAGGGCCTGAAACCGTCTTTGGCCCTCGTCGGGTCTCTTGGAGCCATGTCGGAAGCTATCTTGAACTATCTTCGGCTGTCTTGAGCAGCCTTGGAAGCCACCTTGGAGCATCGCAGGCTCTCTTGGAACCATCTTTGGCCATTTTGGACGCTCTGATCGATCGCGGCCCGCCCCACCAAAAACCTCAGGCAGGGGAGGGGGAGTGTACCTCTTCCCGAAGTGAAGAGGGTTTTTGGAAGAGGAAAGGATGATACCGCTAGACCACTTTAGTTCAAAGGGCTGGTGGGATAAACTGAGTGCGTGTGTGTGTGTGTGTTGTGTGTGTACGGACAAGATGTGGATGCCCCGCTTCTCTATCGGCCTTCACTTGGATTGCGTCTGCAGCCACACGCCCAACTTTGGCGTCGCACCTGAGCTGTCACTGGCCATTGAAAGGTTTCCCCTACAAGTTTGGCATGTCTCAGCCAAAGTTTTGCCGGCGTCATTTCCGTTTTCACGGTGCACATAGGTTTCCATCCATATGGCCCCAACGATTTGTTTTTCAAGTTTTGGTTTCGCCCCATTCCTTTGGAGCTGCTTTCCATCCACAGTCCTTTTCTGACGGTCCCGAGGCCTGGCGTGGCGAGGGCCCCCGAAGGCCAAACGTAAACGACAACCTTCCGTCACGTTTTGTGGCGCAGCGCGAGCCGCGAGACCGTCTTGGTTGCCGTGTCAGGACAAAACATGTGGCACGCATGCTCTGGCCCGTCTCTGAGGGAGGGCGATGGCCAGGCGAGGCGGGGTGAGGAGGGGAGGGGTTCGTGGGGCCTGCCGGGTGTTCCCCTGGGGCCATCGCGGCCACCTTGAGGAGGAAGAGGCAGGGGGGCCCGGGGGGGCGACGAGCGAACGAACGTCGACAAGCGATAGTGGGTTCCGAGCTTCAGAAGAACCAAGGGCTCCCAGGAGGGCGCGAAGTTATTCGCGCTTCGCGCTTCGCCGTCCTCCTTCCTCCTCCCCCTCCTCCTCGTCCTCCTCTTCTCCCCCTTGGGGGGCGGCGCGAGAGCGCGAAGTTATTCGCGCTTCGCGCAGCGCGAAGCGCGAACTTAGGAGCCCTTGAAGAACACGGCACTGCAACTAGAGGAGAGAACCCGACCGCCCCGCCGCCCAGGCGGCCCGCGGCGCCCAGCTCGCGGAGGCTGCGCGCCAGGCCCTGGCGCGCATGGCTGGCCCGGAGGACGACGACCGGCTGCTGGCCGGGAGTGTGGAGGCCGCGCGCGAGGCGGGCCTCCGCTTCCTCCTCCTCCTCCTCTTCCTCCTCCTCCCCCCCTCCTCCTCCTCCTCCCCCTCCCTCCTCCTCCTCCTCCTCCCCCTCCTCCTCCTCCTCCCCCTCCTCCTCCCCCTCCTCCTCTCCTCCTCCTCCTCCTCCTCCTCCTTCGTCTCGTCCTCGTCCTCCTCCTTTTTGCCCCCTCCTCCTTTTCGTCCTCGTCTTTGTCCTCCTGCCCAGAGGGTCCCGAGTCCGCGGGGACCCCGCGGGAGAACGGACGACGCGCCGCGCGCGCCCGCTTGCCCGCGCGCAGCAGCTCGCCGCCAGCGCAGCTGCCGGTCCGCCGCCGCCGCGCCCCGGCCGCGGCCGCTCCCTGGCGGCGCCGCAGCAGCCAGTCGCGGCGCCGTTCCTGCAGCCCACTGGCGGCGCCCCAGAGCTGGCTGCCGCGCCCTTCTCCTCCTGCTCCTTCTCCACCTCCTCCTCTTCTTCCCCCTCCTTCTCCTCCTCCTTCTCCTCCTCCGTCTTTTTATTATTATTCGCCTCCTCCTCCTCCTTTTCCTCCTGCTCCTCACCAGCAACGCCTCCTTCTCGCTGCCCCATGCGCCATGCTCTTCCTCCTCATCCGACTCCTTGGAGCCTCGAGCTGTGGAAAGGCTTGTCGCGCAAGATTTCTTCTCCTTCTCTTCCTCCTCGTCCTCATCATCATCACCGTCAGCATCAGATTCTCCCTCTCCCCGTCCTCTGGGTCGTCGTCCTCCTCCTCCTCCTCCTTCTCCTCGTCATCGTCCTCCTCCTTGTCCTCATAGCGTCGGTCGTGTTGTCCGCGCCCGCCTCTTTCGCGACCTCGTTGCCGCCTTCGTCCAACACGCGCCGCGATTTCGGGATGCTCGCAACAGGCGGGCCCAACCAGTCCCAGCCGCCGCCCCGTGCAGCCGCCTCGGGGTGGCCTTAGATGAGGACCAACTTCTCTCATACGCTGGTCTCCTCCTCCTCGTCCTCCTTTCGCCCAGCGCACTCCGTGCGCCAAGGCCGCAACCAGAAATTCGAACATGTCCGTACGGGCGCAAGCGAAGTGCCCAGCACCCGTTCCATCTAGGAGCAGACGGTCCCTCGCATCACAAGGCGCCTCCATCCTCGCTCGGGTGACCCTTTGCCCGAGCATCCTTAGCTTGGCATGCCGTACAGTCCCCGCACCAGGCGTTCATGCGATGTTGGCGACGTCACGGTATGAACGTATTGCGCTTTGCACGCGCTCAGTCTGTGTTGCCCAGCTTCTCTTTCCACAAGGGGGGCGGGGCGCTCGTTAGCTCGGACGTCATTTTTCATTGTTCGGTGCACTCTTCCTTCGTTCCCAGGTAAGCTAGTGTATCTCTTAGTGCCGCCCAGGCACAGGGACTGGTGGACGCTATTTGGCTCTCTGTTCGCCTCCCGCGCAGGGGGGGGGCAACGTTTCCTCAGCCGCTCTCGTTTCAACAACGTAGTGATGCAGGCGCGCGGAGAGAACGGATAGGCGATCGGATCGGGATTCTTTCGGCCACGGACATTCGCGCGTAAGGTGCACGCGCATGGTCGCGCGTACATGCCCACGTTTTCAATGTAGCGTGCCGTACTGGCGGCCCGCGTGTGCCACCGCGTAAGGTCTGTATGTCATCGCGTGTGAGTCCCAGTTTTTTTTACGTCGGTCATTCCTCAAACAGTGACTGCATATAGGGGTTCGTGCTTCTGCTCTAAGGAACTAGGTCTGTCTGCCAGTCTGGCGGCTAAGCTTCCGCCGTCGCCGCCCCGTCGCGGCTCCGTCGCCGGTCGTCGTCTGGGCTTGCCTGCTGATTTGGATGCTATGCTGCCGCCGTCGTCGCCCCGTCGCCGCCCGTGGTCTGGGCCTGTCTGCCGGTCTGGCGGTTATGTTTCCGCCGTCGCCGCCCAGACGCCGTCTTGTCGCCGCCCGTCGTCTGGGCCTGTCAGCCGGTTTGGTGGCTATGTTGCCGGCCGCCCAGACGCCGCCTCGCCGTCGCGTAGATTGCACAACATAAATTCGCCTTTCTTAAAAAGGAATCGGAATCTACCCCCGCCCCGGGATTGCCCTCCCCTGTCGCATTGCGATTTACATATGACTCCCCCCCATCGTCCATCCATCCTGAATATGAATTCGTACCGTGCCAAACAGGCCTGTATCGCCACCCCTGGTCATCCTCTGGATATGTGTACATATATATATGTGTATATATATATATATGTATATGTATGTGCGCGCGCATTCGCTTATCAAAACTACTCAGTGTGCAAGAATCCCTTGCAAAAAATGAGACAATGCAAACGCGTGCGTCGTCGTGCACGCATGCGGGAATCTTTCAAAAACCTTCGATTTCGTTGGGATTTCAAAAACGAATGTCCAAACTCATGTGAAAATATGAGTTGCCGCAACACGGATGGTCAACAATAAGTTTGCGTTCGCGCTCTTGCGAACCTTTAAGAATAACATTGGTTTTGAAAATTTGCTAAACATGCTACCAAACGGGCTTCGCGCGCGCATGTCGAAATCGTTTGAACGCCTTTGCGCCCGTGCTGTCGCAATAGTCCTTTGCAGCGAATGGGACGACGTGCGCACGCGCGCGTCGTCGCGTGCGCATGCCGCAATCAGTCAAAAACCTTAGGTTTCGGAAGGATGTCAAAACCGGGCTTCCCGAAACCAAGGAAAAACATGGTTTTGCCACATCAGTTTTCACAAAAGCCTGCGCTCGCGCTCTTGCGAATTTTGAAAGTATCATGGTTTTTTTCGGTTTCAACATGTTTATGGAATTCTGCCAAACGGGCCTCTCGCGCCGCATGCCGAAATCATTCGCACGCCCCTGTACGCGTGCTGAGGGGGGGCACGACTCGTGACAAACAATACCATGCGGGCCACTCTGTCGCGTCGGCCGCGCGCGCATGTCGAACTCTTTACTCCTCGCAATCGCCGCCGCATTGGTTTTGTAAACCAAGTTGCGGGTGGGTGGGTGGGATGTTTGCACGAGCATGGGATGTGTCAACTCGTTTGTAACAATCAGTCCTCCTTTTCAACGAGAAAGTAGACTCTACCCCCCCCCCGCTGTTTTATTGGTACATTTTTGGGGTTGCAAGCTACATATGATTCTGCCACATCGTGCATATTAGATATGAATTTGTACACTCCCAGCCGAGCCGGGCTCGACCCCCCCCCCGCCGTCCTCTGCAACAAACGACTATGCGCGCGCACTCGTTTATCAAACCTTCTCAGTTTGTATGAATCCTTTGCAGAAAACGAGACGAAGTGCGCACGCGCGCGTCGTCGCTCGCGCATGCCGAAATCCTAAAAAAAACGTTGGTTCCGGAAGGAGTTTTGAAAATTGAGTGTCCAGAACACATATAAACATACATGGTTTCGCAAAACGGGTTTTCAAACAAACAAAACCACACAAGCGTGCCAGCATTTGTGCATTTCTGAGGAAAACCATAGGTTTTTCAACATTGACAAATCAACGGGCTTCGCGCGCGCATGTCGAAATCGTTCAAACGCCCTTGCGCGCGTGCCGTCGCGAGAATCCTTTGCAAACTTGGACGTGGTGCACACTCGCGCGTCGTCGCGGGCGCATGCCGACATGCTGCAAACACTTTTGGTTTCGTAGCAAATTCAAAACCGAACGGCCCAAATACATTCAAAACCACACGGTTTCGCAATTTCTGTTTTCCAACAAAGTTTGCGCGCGTTCTTGCGAATCCTTGAGAAAAGTGTAGGTTTCACAGCATTGTCATGGAGTTCTGCCAAACAGGCCTCTGGCGCCGCATGCCGACATCATTCGCACGCCCCTGCATGCGTGCTGGGGGGGCACGATCCGCGTCAAAAAATCCATGCGGGCCAGTCTCGCGCGTCGGCCGCGCACGCATGTCGAACTCTTTTGGAAACCTCCATCACCGACGCGAGGACGCCGTCATCGTCGCCGGCGTGACCAGCATCGGCACCCGCACTGGCCGCGCCCTCGTCGGTGCGAACGTCGCCACCAGCATCGCCACTAGCATCATCGTGTCTACCGTTGTCAGCGTTGCCATGACACCGCGCCTGCCCAATTCGCCGACGCGCACTGAAGTGCCCGCTGGGATGTGCCCCAAGTCGGTCGCACCACATCCATTGCTCAATATATATAGATATACCCTCCTTCCTTGACAAGTAGTAATATCCCCCCCGGTTTTTTATCTGTACACCTTTTTGTTGCAATTTACATATGAGTCTGCCCCCATCGTCCATCCGAAATATATTTATATATATATATGTGTATGTATGTAGGTATGTGTATATAGATATGTATGTATACGTATATGTATATGTATATGTACATATGTATATGTATATGTGTATATATACATATATATATACACGTATACCATCCCAGCCGAGCCGGGCTCGACCCCCCCCCCCCCGCCATCCTTTGCAAAACATTACTATGCGCGCGCACTCGTTTATCAAGTTTTGGCAATTTCCATGAACGCCTTGCGAGAAGGAAGCGAAGTGCACACGCGTGCGTCGTCGCGAGCGCATGTCGAAATCTTTCAAAAAACATCCGATGTCGAAATGCTTTCAAATTGGAGATAGTTTATCGGGTTGGCCTGTCAATTTGGTGATCCGCAACCGTTGGCTCTAATCAGCCGCGCGAGCCGGTAGTTCGCCCCTCTATGGAGTGGGCGAGGGCTGCCGCAGCTGGCGCCGGCGGCTTGGCGCACCTGGGCAGCCTGTGGCACGGCCAGCGCTGTACCTGCCAGGTCGAGTTGGGAGACGGTTTCTCGGTGGACCGTGAGCTGCTGCGCCTGTTGGAAGGTCAGCTGCAAAGGTGCGGGCCCGCCAACCTCACGGTGCCGGCGCCGTGCCCGCCCCCAGAGTGTTCGGGCTACCCTGGACTGGTGGTCCTCCTGGTGGCGGTGCTGGCTTTCCTGGCAGGATCCGCCGCTGCTGCATCCTGTGGCTGGTGGTGCTGGAGTCGCTCGGAGTGTCGTGCCACGTCGGAGAG